GCAATGTCATGTGCAGAACGAGGGGCTGCACTGCTGCCAAGGACAGCGAGATGTTCAGCATTGCAGACATCCATCTCACAGCTGTTCGCCTGATGACGATGCAATCCGAATGATCCTCTGATATGCTGGGTTGTCTTTGCATCTTGAGGCGCCGGCGGGGTGATTGTCATGCATCGCTGCTTCGAAGCAGACTCCTTCAAATATGTAGCGGAGCAGCTAGCTTCCGGCCATGGATGCAACATCACATACCTCTGGCCTGTGAGATGGAGTCGTCCTGCAAGGGCTGTCTCGAACATGCACCGACCGAGGCCGCTCTTCGACCGGCGCGTGGAACGGAAAGCTCTCGCGTCCGCAAAAGGCATCTGTAGCAACTCAATGTGGCCGTCACCCTCCCTGAAACCACCCCCGATTGCAGCCGAAACGATTCGGGGGTTAAACGTCCTCAAACCGCTATGGATGCTTTTTTTTGTTGAATACAGGGCCCGGGCCTCTTCACCAGATGCTGTGCCGAAAGCTTCATCCTCGCCCTCGGCATGGTCCTCCTGTACGGCTATAGACCCTTCATGCATTACAGGAAAAGTGTCGCCAAACATGGAGGCAGCAGAGCTCCTCTGGAGTCGTCCTGAGTGTGCTACGTAAGACCACGGCGTCAAACATGTGCAACCGACCAGCTCCCGTGCGATCTGCAATGCCAGGCGAGGCACGACCTGGCTCTGCCTCGTTCCTCTTTTGCTTGGCCGAGCTGAGTGAGGCAGAGGTGCCGAAGCAGGCACACCTCAGACGGGCAGCGCATCTTCCAGCATTGCGTACTGCTTCTTCGAAAGCTGCAGGGTGCCGCCATGCACAACATCCTCGTTTACAAGATTCTCGCGCTCGACGTAGGTCGTGGACGCAGAACAACGCCATGAAGGTGAGAGTCACGTCTGTGGAGCCCTGGAAAGATGTGTCATGCTGCCCCAATCATTGCAGAAACCCCACCGACTAAGCCTTGGAGGGCAAGCCGAGCCAGGCCATCCAAGTTTTTCCACAATGATGTTGTCTCGAGCAGCCTGCAGGAAAACTCTTCCATCCAATCGCCGAAGAAGAGTGGTGACAATAAGGCCAGAACCTTCCTCTTGACATGTCGCCGCGAAATCCAGCACAGTGTTGTTTTCATAGGCCTTCTTCAATCTGAGGACCGGATACATTAAACGCTGGCCTTTGCTATCCCCGCGCAGCCTGACAGAACCAGCCCGCAACATCGTCAGCCGTGGGCTTCTTCAATATTCCGGGCGGCAACCAAGCCTGAATCAGGGACACGGCACTGGGTGCAAGGCGTGCATGTGTCCACGGTGCCTCAAAGGAAAGCGATGTGGCAAGGCTCCTTACAGTACGACACTAACCTCTCGAGTAATCTGTGGAGTGCCGGCAGAGGCATGACAGTGCGGCCAAGCAACAGCGCAAGCCAAAGCACGAAAAACCTGGCAAGGCACGCACGGCAAATCACAGAACATGGTACTTGCTGCTGGCCCTAAGTCGCCTCACGCCGTCGAAAATCGCATCACACCGCTTTACCCCATAGTGACACGCGATTCGGCAAAAGTCACATCACATGCCAAAAGATCACACGAATTTAGTCAATCACGAAGGTGACGCGCCCATGACATGGCATCGCCGCATGAGGAAAACGAGCGATTCGATGGAGCTGCTGCTACAGCCCTGGGAATATGTTGAGAACGGACCCGTGATCCATGTCCCAAACACACGTGGCATCCGGCCATTTCCCATGTAGACGCACGATTTCACAAGCATGCCCGCGAGACATACGCATCAGTGGCATCACATGACCGTACATGCACACTATTCCTCCATGTAGACGCTCGAATTCACATGCAACCGCGTCAGACACTATGTCATGGCATTCACAATTCACAGCACGTCCAATGTAGACGCTCGAATTCAGAAGCCAGCGAGCGAGACACTATGTCATAGCGATCATAGATAGCACTTCCCCATGTAGACGCTCCAGTTCACGACCCCCGGCGAGAGACACATATCATTGGCATCACATGACAGCACATCAAGCGCCAGCCTGTGGCATCGCATGACAGCCGTCCAGGCTTTTCCCCCAGGTAGATGCTCGATTTCAACACATTCAAACCAGCCATTCTCCATGTAGCTGTGTTCTGTTACTATGTCCTACGTATGCGTATGTGTGTGTGTGTGTGCGCGCATGCGCATCCGTGTACCTAGCGCCAAACAGTGTGACCGAGACTGGTTTGGATGAGCTGGACTTATAATCGACAGAGCCACCTGATTAGCTCCGAAATGGACAAGCATTCGCTCGAGACACACATCCGTGGCGTCACAAAACATGAAAAACAGACATTCCCCATGTAGACACTCAGTTCCACAAGCACCCGTTCCAGACATGCGTCAATGGCATCATCGCATCAAATGCAACCGCTACAAGCTCGTTTCCACAGCACCCGCTTGAGACACACATCAGTGGCATCACAACACATCACAACCAGACATTCCACATGTAGACGCTCGACCCCACAAGCAACCGATCGAGACACACGCAAGTGATCATCCGTACTATCACAACACATCAAAACCTGCCATTTCCCATGTTCACGCTCGCCTACACAGGCAACCATCGGATCGTTCAAAATTACAAGTGTCTGCTAGCAATCATAACACGAAGACGCGACACCCCAGTGTGGCGCTGCATAACAAACACGCAAGCAAGATGTTATCACAGAAATTAGTGGAGTGTTTGGTTTAACATTACGGTTCCGCAATTTGATGCTGCAGAAACAAGCGTGCAAGATGTTATCGCAGAAGTGGGCTGTATGATACTGTGTGGCTTGACAGTACGTTTCCCCAAGGTGACGCTGCACAAACAAGCATGCAAGATGGTATCGCGGCAGTGGACTGTATGATGCTGTATAGCTTGACAATACCTTTCCGCAAGGTGACGCTGCACAAGCAAGCATGCAAGATGTTATCACGGTGGTGGAATGTATCATACTGGATGGCTGGGCCATACGTTTCCCTAGGGTGACCTTGCACAAACAAGCATACAAGATGTTATGACAGTTGTGGACTGTATGGCTTGACGATACATACGTTTTCGCAAGAGGACGCTGCACAAACAAGCATGCAAGATGATATCAGTTAGTATCACAGTAGTGGAACGTATGGGTTAGCGATGCATCTCGGAAAGGTGACGTCGGATTGATGCGACTTTCGGCGGGGCACTCAGTACGAGTAGCAACTCTGCATCGATACTCGTGACACCAAATGACACCAATGTGTTCGCATGCGGCACACCGGTCTTCGAGTCTGCGTAGCGCCTCAGCCAAGAGTTTGCCGCGCTTGGGGAGAGGCACCGACGGCTGTCCTACAAGCGCGGGAAGACGGCACGTCATTCACGGATGAACCCTCTGGCTGGACCGCTGGAGCGTGCTGCAGAACAAGCCTTGCTCGATCTGAAAAGGAGCACGCTGCCAACGTAGACTACCGACCAAGCCTTGGAACACTGCATGCAACACCAAGTGCGGATTCCTACCAACTTGTGGCGACATCAAGGCGGCAGCGCTGTTGCAGAAAAGCGCGGTGAGCAACAGCACCTCGCAAGGCTGGTGCTCAACCGAATGCTTGAACGTTTTTGATGATGCGACCACTATTCAGCTTGATCCGGGAACATCAACACCTTGCTCCAACCGTGTAGTTTTAACAATGTCGACATATTGGTCGTAAAAGTAGTAATACTACTAGTATTGTGACTTCAAAAGTACCCATCATGTTAAATAAGGTTTTTGTCTTTTACTTATGATTCGGATATGGTTCGATGTCCTAGGACGTACAGAATACTTAGAGACCTGAAGCCTTCAGGCTCTGATCTGTTCGACTGGGTGGCTGACGGCTGCACCGAGTTGAGCACTGTAGGCTACGGTCTCCTGCCAGGGCTGCCCGAAGGAACAAACTTCCATCATGACCTAGAATCGTCTCTGCGGGCATGCCACCGCAAAATGCAAGTACCGTAACATAAGAATGCAAGATTGGTTGTACTTTTTAACCGTTGCCATGGAAGGCGTTATAGTGGAACGTGTGAGACGCCAGGGGCAGCTGAGACACGGTTGGCCACTTGAGCCAGGCCTCTGGTTCCCTGCACTGCTCTATGCCCCAGAAACGAGCAGTTCTCTCGCAGCTTCTCAGAGGAAACCTATCCTACTCACCGCAGCTGATGCTTCACAAAATGCCGCGATCTTACTCTCCAGGTGTGCGTACTGGATAAATCAAGGGCACCTGGGCACAGGGTAACAGCATGCTGGTACCATCTGAAAGGCAATCTGCTTCAACTCTGCGTTGTCGAGCCACCATCTGATGCATGTAGACGAAGGCCCAGAACAGCCACATGCCTCAGCATGCACTCAGCGACAGCAACCAGCGGCGGCATATTCAACTTGGTCTATGTAGGAGGATGTAAACATACCTAGTTGACTGAATCCGTTCGAAATCTTGCAACCTGCGCACCTCTCTCCACACAACTGTTCTTGGGGAAAGATCGCAATACCCACAGGGTCCACTATCCAGTGCAGACAAGGTGCAAGTTGTTCCTGTGACAACAACCACCATTGCCAGCTGGGAGCTCTCTTCTTTCGTTATCCGGGGTGTCTCCTCACGCTTTGAACCAGTCGATGCTGGAACAACAAAGACCACAAGAAAGACACGCCGTCCTTGACAAAGCATCGAAAGGCAATCCTCATAGCGATCAGTCCAAAGACCAACCAACCGGCGGAGCCTCAAGGCGAAAGCGGCGAAAACCGAAAAACAAATTCCAACAACGGCGGCATGACAGAGTAAATGTAATGCTCCAAGGGGCCATAAATCAGGCCCGGAGCCATAAACCCATTGCAAACCATGGCACAGCACAAGAGTGGCGGCTAGCAGGCTCTCTCCAGTACTCACTTGAGCTACGCGCCGGTTCGCGAGCGTTGTTTGAGTGTGGATCAACACGATTTCTGAGCTCCCTCCAGCGGCGGGCCCAACACGAAATGCATGAAATTCGCTCCTGTCGCAGCCTCTGGCTTCGGTTTCGTGCCTGCCAGGTGCCGGGATGCTGTCCCGATGCTTTGCAGTTCGTGAAGGGCCTGACGATCCATTTCTTTGGCAGCGGGTGAATTGGCCACGCAATGCCTTCGTCACGCTTGAATGTACCGCGAGAAAGTTTCGGGAAGAATGCAAATTTGAGTTGCCCACAATGCCGCTCGCTTGACTGTCCTCTGAATAATGCCGATCAACAACAAGGCCATCTCGGCCATGTAGCCCCTTGCATGCGCAGAAGCCACAACATGGTCACAGTAGTCATATGTCAGCGGAAACTGTGTGGGCTGCTGGTTGTGCAGTCCCCAGTACGACTCCACCTCCTGCATGCAGTCATGTTGCTACACCTGGACGGACATGCTTCCGAGCACATTGTCAGCCTGATCTGGAAATGTGATCAGCTTGAAGGTGTACACGTATTGGACCAAAAGCAAGACCTAGAGAGGACGAAACACCAGTTAGGAACATGTCGCCGCAGCTACGATGTAGGGTCAAGACCGAGGATGTCAAGGATATGAAGCCGCCTGCATAATCCCAGCCTCGACCACCTCAGCTATAGGAACTCCAAACATTTAGCACGTGCGCGGCATCTGCAACAACTTGTCATGAGATGTCTCCTGCGGTGCCATGCCGAGATCCGCACTCAGCAGCAGCAGAACTAGAACGGCGAGCTGCATGTGGGATGTGGCGTTGTGACGCCTGGACGTGGCAATGCAAGTGCGGTTCGGTTGATTCTCCTGTCATCTCCTTTTTAATCTTGCATTGAAAGGGCAACGAAAAATCGTCATAGGTTTTGGTGCAAACCCTCGCGGCTGGTTCCTGAACATTCAACCCATGGAAGACAGCCGGTTCAGTTCACTCGTGCCCGTTTGAACACATCACCATCGCCCAGGATCCAGAAACCTTGAATCCCTTTCAACAACAGGTCAGCACGGCGAGATGCTGTACAATGGAATTGCTGAGCTGCACGATTCGTGCAGCGCTCGACCGAGCCCCCAACGGCATGATGAAGTAGCAAGCAAAAATCAGCACGACGGTAGACCACCGAGCGGCCTGAGTCTCCCTCTCTCTCCGTTTGTTTCTGTTGCAAGCGATCGGCCAGAGCTTCAGGATGCTGCGCCACTGCATGACCAGGTAAGACTACGACTCGCATATTTCTTGCTCATTGGCACTTTTGCTATGGCTATGATTCCATGGTCACGGCCTCCAGGAGCACCGTCATCAAGACCTAAGCATCGATCGCCGCGACAACTTTGCAATCGTTCAGAATCCAGCTGCGAATGAGGAACTGTGTTCTTGGGCAAAAACACCTGGCTGCGTGCCCCAATGAGGCTCGCCTGAGTGTCATGGTCTAATCTAACCCAACATTAGCCGAAAGACAGGATCATGTTGGAGCCAAGTCCTGTCCGGCGCATTTCCACAACCGTGGCTCGAGCTTCGGATCCGAAGCGAAAGACACGGCGCCTCATCCGGGGAAAGGCGCAAAACATCGAATAACAAACACACTTCCAGCGACCGCATGGTAGAATCTCTCTAGAAGGCATGGTGTCATTTGCCTTCCTGTGTGTTCTTGTTGGAATTTCTTGGCTCAGCCCGGCGCCATTTTCTTTGCAAGCAGACAAAAGCGAAAATGCTAAGACGAGGCCAGACGATGGCACAAACCCGGGGGCACACCAGCGGGGCCGAGTCTGTCTTCCCACGCCACTCATAGCTTCGTTGGACGCAACCCCGGTAGTGCATCGTATCCCCCTGCACTCGCCTTCGTCAACGAATCACACTACTCCAGCCCGTGGGTACCGGGTTGTCGCGCACACACAGACACATGCTTTCCTGTAGAGAAGCACGTCCTTCCACACTCTCCCATGATGCAACATTGATCGAACACAGGGGAGTCAGCAAACACGTATAGCAAGCAGCAAGATTTAATGCATACCGGTAACATGTTCCGGACACCGATCTCCTTTGGTTGGAGGGGCTCGCGAGCAAGAGACGACTCAGGCAAACAACACCGGCGTCGGTCCTCAACATAACCCATCTGAGCCGGTGAACCGAGGCTGGAGGCCACATTGTCGAAATACCAACTAAAGGCGTCCGCAGCGTCGCGATGCGAAGAAACAACTGTTCCACCGGCTTCTCGGATCGGATTCCTCGTGAAGTCAATTGGCTCTGCTTCACACGAAGGCGTTGAGGTTTCTTCATGTGCAAGTTTCCGTAAAATCTTATGTTACTTATGTTCAATATCCTGGAAATCAAGCTGGCAAATCTGCTGGAATACAGCGCTGCAAGAAGACTTCTTCCTGTCGATCGAAACACAAGACAGTCAAGTGCTGTTGTTGAGCCACTACGAAGTCAGTTCGGCAGGTAGCAACCCTACTCAGCTGGTGCGCGGCTGCAATGCCACGCTGAAACACTTCCGGCGACCTCACGGTCGAATCAATCCTGCGGTGCTCGTGTCAGCCGTGGCGTTTTTGCTGTGTCGGTGCTCTTGGCCTGTCTCGGCGCGACGACGGTCCCATTTCGATAGGACATAATTGATTGAAACTGTCAACATGAAACAATATGGAGCCAGGACAATGCGTTGCATTAGGTTTCCCACGCCACCGGCAGCTTGAGTCGCAGTTGTGTGCCGTCTCCCATGCACCCACTTTCTTCGACAAATCGTACTGCTCTGGTCGCCCTTGGGTACAGGGTTGTTGTGCGCACACACACACACACACTGACACATTCATACGAACGTTTGTACTTGCTTACGCGTGAGAGCACCTGCAAAAGCACACACGCTACCAATATGCCACAGCTTCATTTGCAGTAAATAGGTCACTGTCAAGAATAGTCTTGCTCACCTCCGGCGGTACCCACGCCACCCTGGCTGAGCAATTGTTGAGGTCTCGACAAGCCACTTGACAATGGCACCAACGTTGCCAAGTATCCCAGCTTGACACGAACCTGACATCTGTCGATGCATGCGACGAAGAACGCTGCACTTCGGCTTTCTGCTTCCAGCCTCGAGTCTCGTGTCGGCAAGAGCGAAACCCTGCGAGGATACGTCGCTGTCGCAAGCTGCCAGGATACTCCACTTCCTTTCGGGCCTTCCATATCAGGATGAACTGGTCCTCTGGCAGTGGTGAGCGTGGACCGCTAATCCATTCCTGTACCTCACCATGAGACAGATCTTCTTGCTTGCTCGGTCTATCACGGTCGCACGTGGCTGCTTGAGGTCCATGCGACTGGGATCAGAAGTGCGTAGCGAACCATCAAGATGATTGCACAGGTATATGCTGTGGCAGTCAGTAGCCAATTCCGCCTCATTTCAAGACCCAGGAACTTCAAGAAGCCATGCTCACCAGGGCGCAAACAATGAAGCCGACTCCATGCTCAAGCAGAAATGCGGCGGTGGAGCATGCGCACTGATCCGTCGAATTGCTCCACAGCAACAATGCCTGCCAGCCAGATTTTAGCAGCACAGCGAGATTCCAAGCATACCAACCCGAGCGGCCTAGACAAAGCAGAAGGATAAGGCAGGAATCCACGGTAAATGGCTGGATCATCACCAGATTCAACATGATGCCCATCTCCTGTCTTGTGCAGACTCGCCTAGAATCTTCATATTACGAACCAATGGACGTGGACAGACTCTCAGCTCGTCGCGATGAAGATGCCACCGATCCAGAGGAACAAGGCCTTGGGTCGGAGAGTCAATTCAACTTCAAGCTCGGGTTGCAGCTGCCATGCGAGAGAATACCTAAACATCCTGCTGTCCGAGATGCCAAAGCAGAGTTGGAGTTCACGTACATGGACGGAATCTGTATCTTCATAGACAATGCCTGTGCTTGTATAGCCGCCAGCACACCGACAACCAGATGGGCCCAGGTTACCTGGCAACTCAGCTTCAGAATGCATACTGTAGCACTGCATTAAACTTCTCTCAGCTGGAGCCTCAAGAACGGTCTGCTTGGACCGCTGAAGGCCGAGAAAGCTGTCGTAGTTGTGGGACTCCATTACCTGCAGACTTTGCCATCTCGCTATCCCCATACGCAGCCCACAAAAAGTGTATGTAAAGTAAACGTTGCGAGTTGAAGCGTTGAAAACCTCTCTTGCATGGCATGCTGCTTGGCAGTAAAACAGCGCCAGAACAATCACGTTGCTGAGCACGAGCACGCCTGTTCACGTACGAGCACATGCACACAACAGTCAGAAGATGCTTCCAACAGACAGTTCAAAGCCACACTGCGACACCAAACAACACATCTGCATTGGACTGAGCGCTTCGCTGCGCCACACAGCACTGCTCGCCCGTAGCGCATCCCAACCTAGGCAAGGGACAGCCGCATACGAGTTTGCAGCCGTTGGGAGCTTTGGGCCCAGCCTGCACTGACATACGAAGCCATGGCGCCACTGGCCACCAAGCACAAAAGCCAAAGCCTCATTGCAGCTCTGCAGGATGGGTCAAATTCTGACGGCGGAAACGATCAACTTCAAGCAATTGGAGCCGCAGCAGCACAACTCGAGCAAGTCGACCGGGCTAGTCACGAGTGACGAGGTAGCGAACGTGTGTTACCGCTACGTGCATGCAGGCAGCAAGTAGGCCACGCCAAGTAAGTTTGCTGGCTCTTGTCCTAGAGTCACCTTGGTGGGATCACGATTGAATGCGACCTCGCAAAATTTGGGTGTCTCATGTCTCAAAGCCTTAACTTAGCTTAGCTTAGCTGGCGACTATGGCGACAAACGCCGCGGTGATGGGTCGGAGAAGCGCGACACCCTGCAGTGATGGCTTTCAAGATATGTCATACTCGGCTGTCAGCTTCGCATGGGGCTGCCTTGCGCACCCACGTGGACACAAAGCGTCCTGGCGCAGCAGTACGAGTATCCCTTTCAAAGCTCCACTTGTCACGGTTCCAATGCCTGCAAATGCAGGTGCTCGTCGGTCGGCCGGGCCCTCAGCCGGGCCCTCAGCCTGCAGAACTCGCGACTTCTCTCGAATCGCTCCGTGCTCGAAACCCCACAGGCCTCAGTGCCTTCAGACCTGCGGGAGTCCGCTTGACTCCTGGCGCCAAGCGCCTGCGAGCATCGACTATCTCGCGATCCCCGATGTCTGCTCTCCGTGGGCTGTAACTCAAACCCCTGGTCTCTTTGGGCAAGCTGTACTGGGCGATTGACGTCCCGCCAGTTCACGGCCACTCCACAGCCACTGGAGCAACACGATAGTCCGACAACGAGAACAACTTCCATTAGCGAGTGCTTGTCGAAATCACCGTGCGTTGGACTGTCCCGCAAATTGCCGGGATCGGAACAACTATGCATCCAGCCAGTACAGTAGGCCCAACTTAGACATGATAAGGCTGTCCCACTATCGGGAAGCATCAGTAGGGAGGTCTCTTTTTGTGGTCGTAGTTCAGCTTCAGCACTGCAGTGAACATCCCTCGAACAAAAACAACGTCAGTCTGACGAAAATCGCTCTTTGAAGAACTGCTTCTGCCCTGTGTTGTTTGATGCGGGCCCAGCCCTTGCAGGGCAATAGCAAGAGTAACTGTTCGAGGAAAACGAAACGGAGAGTCTTTCGAGTCTTACTTGGGCCACCCTCGTTGGCATCAGGAGCCACCTTACTTCGGAACGGATATTTGGTAAGGCAGAACGGAATTCACACCGCTCTTGCGCCGAGGTTCAATTGCTTCCAATGAATCCAGAACTTTCTAAGAGCCTCAGACTCTGCTGTTTGGGACGTATTGATTGACACAAGTTAAGCAGCAGCTGTCAAAAAGCTGTGGTTGTCTCTAACAAGCAGGCAACGGAGCACTGCAACTATAATTGCCTGCAAAGCCCTGCTCCTCACGAAGGCTGCTCCGAACAGCAGGGCCACGCCCTGGCAAACTCCGTAGGTGGCCCGGGCATATCGACGGCTAATTGTTCGCAGTCGGTACGGCCAGAGCGCGCACCTGCCCCAAAGCGAAGAAGTAACGTCGTAGCGACGGCCGAAGTGGCCCTGGGGCGAGAGGAAGTTTAAGTATCTATTCTGCAGCCCAAGCAGATTGCGCACGGCAATGATCAGCCGTACTGTGCTTGCCCGCCGATACTGTAGCCCCGGTATATCCGTCTTGCGCATTACAAGCTTCATGTGCGATGTGCTGCCAGGCCTTCGCGCAAGTAACACTGAAGTCCAGCTCGCTCCATCCAAGTGAAGGAGTTCGGTACGTTGGAAAGTGGAAGGTCTTCGACATGGCAGAAAATGTTGTAACCTGACAGGGACGATCGAGAGTTCTGAAAGCTTGCTCGGCACAGCACAGGATCCAGGAGCCGGGCAATACCAAACAAGGCTACAGAGCAGCTCGTAGAGGAATATGCACTGAAAAACTCCGAGCCTGAGCGAGCAAAGAAAGGATGGAGCAGTTCAGCCAAAAGTTGGCCAAAAGTGCTGGAGGCTGGCAGGAATGAGCCCAGGACGGAAAATATTGCATGGGAACATGAAGCACGACCATTGCTCCCAACCTCTGTGAACGGCCAGATGTCCGGTTCTTCGGAAGCATAGATCCAGGCTCAGGACACAAGCGGTAGGGTTGCAAGCGAAGGCCACACCGATGGCAATGCCAACCTTACTTACTTGCAGCAATTCAACATAAAAGGAGCTTTGACCCGCCGCAACGTAGAAGCCATGGACAAGCAGGAGAGCGGAGAAGAATATTCCAGCCGGGCGGCATGGACACCAGCAGAACGAAAGTGCTCCCACTTGCCACACTAACCTGGCGGTGGTGCAAGGGATTTGCAGCTTCCCTGGGCGGGTGAGAAGCACTGTGCCGATTCGGCAAAGCAATCCATGCAGCGAGTCTTCACAAGACTCGAGGGCTGTTCCGTGCAACCTGATGTTAGGAAGTATGTCCTGATTCTTGCATTGAGCTCATGGGCTAATGTGCCGCAGGGATTGTCGAGTTCTTTGTGATGCTATTATACTTCCGCAGTTGGCAAGGACCTTGAAAGGCTTCATGGCCTTCTCATTCAATCACATGCGTAGAAAGTCTCGACTCGCGAGTTGAAAGATAGGACAGACATGGCCATTCTTGCGATTCTTGTCTGATGTTCTTCACCGCAAGAAACACGCTCCGAACAAGTACGAGGCTGGTAGCGAGCACAAGCAGCAACAAACAGTACTCTGCCAGGCCTTGTTCAGAAGTAAGGCCGACCAGTTTATGGAGTCCTCCTACGAGATTCGCTGTGAACTGAACTGCTCTGTGACCGGGCCGGGCATGACAAGCACAGCCGGGTAATGTCGGTTCTGAAATAGTTGAACCCGGGTGATTAAACCGGCCACTTGCCGCAATATCCCACGCCCCCCTCCCCATGAGCTAACAAACCCGCTTTAGAAGCCGACCACCCTCCCATGCAAGGTTTGCCGGACTCTGCTGCTACCACTGCTCCTGCTCCTGCTCTGAGCTCTGGCTTTTGCTCCTACTCCTGCTTCTACTGCGACTGCGACTGCTGCTTCTGCTGCTGCTGCTGCTGCTGCTGCTGCACCACCACCATCACCAACAACAACAACTGCAACTCCAACTGCTGCTAGTACTACTAGTGCTAGTACTAGCGCTATTGTCGTGAGTTCGTGTGGTGTATTAAAGAAACGAAACACGCGTTACATTACGTTACACTTGCTTTCTTTCCTTCTATTGCAACACCCTTCTCTCACTCCATTCCTTTCGCTTGGCTCTCCTATTTCATACTGAGTGAGAGAACAAGGTGTGTGAATGAAGCATGAAAATAGGAGAAGCGAAAAAGAACCAATTCAGTAAAAGAAAGACGTGCTCTTTCCTTACTTCGTCTCTCCTCCAATAATAAACAAAGAGCTCGGACAAAGGAACAGTGTTCACTTAATATTAAATGAAACGTAAGCGGTAAGACAAATGAAACAATCTAGTGCTAGTGCGAGTGCTAGTGCTGATACTACTACTACTACTACTACTACTACTACTACTACTACTACTACTACTACTACTACTACTGCGGATACTGCGGTTGATGGAGGAAATCTTGCACCACGTGGTTAGCAACGACACGGCAGAAAAGCATACCCCCGCACGTCCCGTTTGATAGTGGCGATGATGCATACCGAGGTGGTGCAAGATTTTGGTGATTGGAACCTACGGCACTTCCGAGGAGGCAAACCAGTCGATGCTAAAAGGGGGCGCGGGGCCCACTTTACAGTGGTGCAAGATTTCCCGCATCAACAGTATTATTGCGATTGCTGCTGCTGCTCCTCCTACTCCTCCTCCTCATTCTACTACTACTGCTGTCACTGCTACTGGCTACTGCCTACTGCTACACCTACTACTACGACGACGACAACCATTACCGCTGCCGCTTACTACTAGGCAGCCCCTAAACCCTAAACCCAAGCTTTCTTGCTGCGAGCCAACAGAGTGCCCCATGTTGTACCCTGACCATCCCTGACCTTGATCGGCAAGATCAAGGTCGTGGGTGGAGGGTAATTGTAGGGAACCGATACCATTTTCACAAACCCATCCTGCATTGTGACCTCGCAGCTGCTTGTGGACACGGCCTCAGGAATCTACCCACTTTGTCACTTTGATTGAAGGCTTACCGTATTGCTTGCATGGACCTGCCCTTTGGAAGGACATGGCCAAGAGTCAATCGGAAACTGATCGGGCTGCCGTCGACTAGGTCCCCGGCGGGTGTGGCTTCCGCTGTCGGCGTCCGGTCATCGCAGGCTGGGGAGGTCTGAGAGATTCAGCGCGATTTCGTTGAGGGAAACTCTGATGGCTCTAGCATGCAAAAAACAGGCCTCTTTACCATTGGCTGAGGGTGATGGCGCCTGCAGATCGTGACTGACGAGAGGATGGCTCAAGAAAGCATTAGCGTAGACTGCGTCTCTTTGGCCTCCATTCGCCGCAGCTCCTTTCAATTCGGGTTTGCGTGGTTCCATCCGTCAAGGGCTTTAGACTCGCAGGAAACAAACGCCTGCACAGGATTGCGAATGTGCACAGCCAGGATCCGAAAGGGTCCTCGGAAACTCCTCGAGGAACCTGGAGCGATTTCTTCGTCGCCTGGGATGCAAGCTGCCGGTAGCCCAGTGCCCTGGGATAACGTCTTTCTCTGAAGGAGCATGTCGTGCTTCTCAGTAACCTACTGTCCTGACGCATTCAGTGTTTGTGTCTTCCTAGAAAGGACAGAGAGAGAGAGAGAGAGAGAGAGAGAGAGAGAGAGAGAAAGAGAGAGAGGGAGGAGCGAGCAACCAAGTGTGCTGCAGCGGCCTCATGACTCGGAAAGGAAGGCCACAAAATCCTCAGTTTCTCCACTGACACGTATTGGCAATCTTGCTTCGAAGGTCGCTTCGGCTGACGAAGGCCAGTCTAAGGCTCAATTCCAGAAGGAGGAAGCTCGCCATCTGCTGTAGCGCCATCAACGGTGTCACCTGCCACTCACGGCAACAGCACAAGGATGGCGTAGGTTCAGCGACGTGAGAGCATAGCTTTTGCGGCCGCCTCCAGGCCAAGCAGTCTTGACACCCGCTCGGGGACTTCAAATGGCAGTACCGGCACGCTGACGGTCAGCAGAGCTGCCTGGTCTTCAGGCATGCTGCGAGGATACAATGCAAAATGAAGATTCTCGGCCGAGGCAAAGGCCACAATGACGTGTGCGGCGCTCGCTACAAAAAGGATCATTCTCAGCAACCCGGCAGCGCACGGAAAACAGTCCTTCCATGTCATGATGTCTCGGATATGCTCCAGCAAGCAAGGGGAGCAAGAGAACATGAATACATCGGTCCTGCCGCTGCCGCGCGTGGGCTGCATACGGGTTCACCACGGCCCACAATATCAGTATACAAACAGTCGCCAAGTGGTATGCCTCAGCAGCAGCAGTTGATGGGAATCAGCTGCAGGAGTGCTCCAGCAGTTTATCTAGGGCAGGAACGACAGCAAACATGTTGAAGTGAAGACTGGCAGAGCAAAAGAGAATCCTTGGCTCGATGGCTGATTTCATCTTCAGAAGCTTTCCAAGCGCAGTGCAGCTGAGATGGGCACACTGTGACCTTCAGACTGCCAGCGCCGGATTATCAAAAGCAGCTTAAAACTCGGTCTGGAACATCCACAGCAATGTTCGACATTCTTGTGAGGGCTTAGGGCGCAGCGCATGCGAGCCTCGAGGGCGATTTCAGAGGGTTCGACCATGCTGAAAGGCATTGGCTAGCCTGCCAATTCTGGCTGCATTCCGGACATGCTAATACTTGGAAATACTTCTCAGGTGCTGCATGCATGCGTGAAGCACATCGAGCCTGCATCGCACGAGCACAGCGACCCAGCAAACAGCCCAGGCCAGCCGTGACTGTTGCCATGACCTCCACATGCTCCCACACTATCCCGTAAGGCATGACCCCGAGACTGATGCAAATGCCTCTGGGAGCATTATCCACCGGCTCTCCATGCACCCGGCCTCGGCGATCAAATCAGAAGAATGCATGGATAGAGACTTCATATAGGCGCATGCACTTCATAGGATCCCAGGCGATGCCGAAGAACATCAGCTTCCCCGCGACAAGCGCCTCTTCTTCAAGGCTGCTATGCCTGGAGACATCGGTTGGCGCCCGTCCCTCTACAACATCATGAATCTCGAAGTCGTGTGCAAGCCTACAAAGGGTGAGCATGACGCCGGCCACGATCAGCAGGCTAAGCGTGAGGATTCCCAAAACCAAATGAAGCCGCCGCCAGCTTGAAGCCCTGCCAAGTCCGTCTCGCCTATGCACCTTCTGGTTCCAGGGACTTCGCTGAGGCCGCAACTCACAGTCCCGCACACGGCACGCGGGAAGAAAAAGCACCAGAAATGCAACAAGTGAGTACACCGCCGACACCTGCAGCAAGCACTAAACCGCGCATGTGAGTGTGCGGAGCGTGCGCACGCACTCGCACGAGAGAGAGAGAGAGAGAGAGCGAAAGAGAGAAAAGGCGCAAACAGGTTTTCCTTGGTGTGGAGGGCAAGGACAGCACATCGGCAAAAAGATGGGCGCATCTACGAGGCTTCAATAAAGTAGTCGTTGAAATGTTGGGGAAGATCTGAAGCAGCAATGATGTTGCAGGGCAAGACCTTCATTCCACGAGATTGGCTTCGGAACTCTGTCCCCTGCCATAATATGCAGCCATGCAATTGCAGGTCCGTCCCGCCCCCCCCCCCACTCCCCCCCGTCCCATGCAACTGAGTTGTGAGATTGATCGACCCCGGCCACAGGTGCTACAGGGACGCGTGTTTCGCCGTGCACCTCGAAAACAAGTAAGCACGTAACCGTCAACATAAACCAATCAAAGTGTGTGTCTGCGTGTGTGTGTGTGTGTGTGCATATTGTCAGTGTGTGCGTATACATACATATATACATATATACATACATATATATATATATATATGTAGTTAAATGTAAATTCATATGCAGGTATGCGACAACGAACCATAAACGCCGCTACTCATTTACTTGTTGATGCTTTTCCACAACGAAGACTTGAATGTGCAAAACTATTCTGAGGTCGGTGAGATCGCCCTTGTTTGAAAGAAAAAAGCTTCGAAAGAACGCCCGAATTTGCTCAGTATTTGTTGGGGGAGATTGCCACTGTAGCCAACCTGGAGGCTGACCATTACTGGCTTTTCCCGTTCTAGCTGCACCGCGAATACTGCAAGCTACTTGCATTACTTGCGCTCGGTACCTGTCAGTGTCGACTCTCTACCCTGGACGACAGGACACGGACGCTTCTGCCAAGCGGACTGCTAAAGCCGCTCCTCGATGTGTGGTTGGGCTTTTCTGTCCCAGGCGGCTGAGGACAGTGGTGATGACTTTGTCCCTGAAATGCTTTTGGGACAGAGCTCTCTCGCCGGTTCCCTCTCTCTCATGCTGCACAGACAGAGGAAGCAAAGTGCTCGCCATTGTTTCTTTCATTCTTTCTCTTTTTCGGTCGATTGGGCAGCGGGAGGCGAACTCACTTTGCGCGAGTGCGCACCGCACTTTTTGTAGAGCTCCAAGGGAACCCCCGTTTGCAATCCCGCACCAGCCATTTTTCTAGAACTACATGCGGGTGCTTCATGGGAATCAGACTGTCGCAAACCATTCAAACAAAGATTAAGCAAACAAAGACTAAGCCATGAGCAGAAGTAGCTGGGCGCAGCAGACTGGCGGCGAGGAAGCACAAAGGGTAGCAATAGCAGAACCTCGGTCCAGAGCGCATCTGCTTCCAAACAAAGGGCCAACTCACAACGTGCCACGTGATCTCGTGAGGCCACCGCCATACTCGAACAGCTTGTTGCACCCACCTGCCATCAATGGGCTCGAACTCAAGCTTAATGTTGTCCAGGTCTGAAGGTGTGCAGTGAAGAACGAGACCAGGTAAGTGCCTAGACTGGGCGCAGCACGATGCATCGCGCACCTTGCTTTTTGAATTGAACGAACGACATGTTACATGTCGCTCATTCCTTGCCGCGTCAGGGATAAGCCGGCCACCGGCCGCGATGATGCATCACTGTCCGAAGATTCCATCAGCCGCTCCATGTCGAGTGATGGGCTAAGAAGCTGGATCTTTACGGGCTTGGGCTTGTTGTCTCGCTTGTGATCTGCTCGTCTTATCTCTGCCACAGTCTGCCACAGCAGAACTGGTAGCTGGGATTTGCGTGAAAATCCCAGTCCGACAGAACCTTCGGGGGTCCACATTGCCTTCTAAACTTGCTTGAAGCTGCGGGGATAAGCAAGCGACTCCTCATGCATTTACTCCACTCTGATCCACCCTGCGATGCCGAGGGTTTCAAGCAGGCGGCCAGTTTTTGCAAGTCACTGTACAGGCGAGACCCGCATGCTCAATTGAAGCGACGGCTGCTCAAGCTCTGCCTGCTGCACCAGATCTCATTGCGCGTGTGCTAGCGGCTAGCGAGCTGAGGAGCTGAGCTGTCAGCCTCGATGGGTTGCGTCCCCAACTGTCGAAGAGCCCGAGTGCCTGCAGAGCTCGCTCTGCGGCACACAAGATCCGTGGATCGACTCTGTAAATCAACACTTGCAGCACAGTGCTGAAGATAAACAGACCACTGGCCTTCGCCAAGAGAGCGGCCAAAACGACGAGGAGCAGTACCTCTACAACGAGGCGCATGCGATGTAGCTTTTGATGACCTGCTCAGTTCGCGGATGCTTGGCAATGCTTGGTGAAGGCCCCAGGAGAACTGGGCTACCGTGGATGATACGTACACTGTCTGCAAACTTAAGTGCGACATACAACCTGGGCATGGCACCAGGCTGCTCCAAGATGACTGCCTGTCGTAGTCAGCTTCGATCAATGTCGCTGACATACAGTGCCATGGAGCGGCATCTTTCACAATTCAGCTGCGCTGCGTTGGGTGCATCCACGAATCCGAGCCAGGAAGGTTCAGAACCGGGCGCGCCCCGGCCTCCTGAGTACGATGGAAACCATGCCCTTTCAATTTGCGACCTCGAAACGCATGTCATACAATCCGGAGTGACACATTCTCAGTTCTTCCCAGACCATGCAAGAAACCGGGTTCATTCAGATCTTGCGGTGACACTTTGATGTGCTGGGACTAAGATTGAGCACCGCCCTCCCCCCCTTCACTCACACAAGTTGAAGAATAAGGCCCGGAAATAACCAGAAAATCCACCTTCAACTCCAAGACACGATTCCGATAATTCCTAAGAGCTTGCCCTAGGATGTCACCAGCCTTTTCCATCTTTCAAGCGCAGCTTTCTCGGCAGCCGGGCCTTGAGCTTCTTCCGACACGCCAGCAGCCGTTTCTGCGTGTCCGTGGACTCCACCCATTGCTTCCTGCTTCGGCTTTGGCTGAGTCGGTGTGGTTTAGGGGGGACGTGCTCGCCTCCTGCATTGCTTGACTCAGTGAGGGTCAGGGTGACTGACCTGTAATTAATTAGACGGGTTCATATAGAGCACTCCTGGAAGATGTGCCTACACTGTACTGAAGACGGTCATGGAGTTGTCATGCCCTTCTTGTGCAGACGGTTGTGAAAAACGTGCGACAAGTGCAAAACCTGACCCTAAATTGCATCGCTCGTCTACTGGTGCATCACACTTGGCTTGTAAGTTGCTGCCCCTCTCGCCGCGGCGCAGCTGCCAGGCAACAAAAGCGCAATAAATGACGCATTCGTGCCTGAACTTCCCTCATGAAACCTCATGTGCGAGACAAGCAAGAGATGAGATTGCGCACACATGGTGGGCTCTCGTTTTTGGTGCTTCGGTTCTGCGCTTTGGGCCGACACCCTCGTTCATCGTCACTTTACGTGAACCCTCCCGAACATGTTGGGGTGATTGCCAACTTGCCCACTGATGATTTGCAAGTCGCATAAGACAGTCAATCTGAAGGGGTCGGGAACTTAAAATACTTCCGCAAGAGCAGTGTCTTATCTCAGAGGCCCAACCAACCCCGTACCCGCCCCCTTGTCACGGCGTGCAGTACCCCGTACCGCGACCCCCTCGTTGAAAATCTAGGGGAACTCAAGTCCAAAGGGTTTTTGGGAACCGTCGAAACAATAGAAGCGAAATTTACGTGTAGCATCCCTTCAATGCGACAGCCGAGTCGTGACATGAGTGAAAGAAATCGGAAATGCTATGACACGTTGGGAAAGTCATTCTGTCGTAGCTACATATGTCAAAAGTCAAAATGCTTCACCACGCGGTGTCCTGTCGCCATCGTGCATCATGATGGCGCCCAGAAGCCAGAAGGAAAGTTGCTGCGCACAGGGCAGCAATACATGTTGGTCGGCATGCTAACCTAAATAACATAGCACAGAATAGATCGTCAAGCATAGTAGACTCTACACTCTAGACGGAAGTAAACAAACTCCGTTCAGAAAGACGTCACTGCATGGCAGTAGGACTCGAGACTCTTGGTGAAACTGGGACTTGCCTCCAAATCTGCCGACGTCAATGTTCCACCCGGTCTGGGAGAGCCGGACATGCGTGACAGGTTTGAATTTTCTATGTTTTGGCTGATGCCTCCGGCGAAGCGCAGCAGGCGGCTCCCCACAGCTTTCAGTGAAAACCTGGTGGGACTCCATATCATGAGGCCATGCAAGTCACTCCGTGCAAGATTGACATGCTTGCTCCTTTCGACGGCTAATGGGCACCGGCATACTGTCAACTCAGGAAAGTCGCATCGAGACGACAAGTGCCTGTGCTGAGGCTACTACATACCTGCTTCCGGAACCCAGCATCTCCAGCTGTCGCTCAACAGCCTCCGGGCAGCTGCAGACACTTTGCGCCGTTGCCTGGTCACTGCGCGCCTGCATTGCAGCCTCTGCAACCAGTGGGGCCGGTTCCTGTCACAGGAAGATTGGAGAAGTGGAAGCCGCGAAGGAGTCTGGCTCATGGCGCCTCGCCGTCGGCTCCTAGAGAGGGCTCAAGATTCGAAGGAGGAACAGAGCTTGCACAGGACCTACATGAAGAAATTATGCTTTAGACAGTCCTTCTTGCGGAGCCTCGCGACCAAGCAAGTTCAGCGGCAAAGGCGTGTCAAAGTACGCCTTGAATGCACTTGCTCGTTACACAAGATGCGCCGCTTGAAAGGTGAAGCCACAGCCTCGAAGCGACCGAGTTCAAACCCATCCTGCCGAATCTAGCTGCACATGTGCGACAGTCTCACGGACGACATGTGCTCTGTTGCCTTTTCCATGACAACTTGTTGTCCAGGCCCGATACCCGAAACTAAACCAATTGCTGCAGTGACCGGCTCTGAACCCTTACGCTGATTTATACCATGTGGAGAGCCGGTTGGAATACGCTGCGACTTTGCAGATGGCATCTTTGCGTCAGTCGCTCTTGGCAACACTAGCCCTCAGCACACCATTGTCATCTCATGGCTTCCATGTCTCACAGCTATCTAATTGTGTCTGGGGTGGTGCCCTTGTCAAGGAACACTCCTGGCACTTTCTCACGTCTGATTCTCCTCATGTAGATGGGGCTGCTCGGTCAAGCGGACGCGGAACTTGCCAACAAGTGCGACCTAGGCAGCGAGACAGGTTTGCGTCACGGCGGGCTTTCACGATGACTGCAGCTGGGGTACCTGTGCTGCCTGCCGGCCAGCAGGTCGAAGGTGTTCCACGTTCATGCACACGCCTGGAGCTGCACTGACATCACGCTACCTCTGAAGCTTGGAGTCGCGTTAATTACCTGTCCTGTGTTTCCTTCAGGTGGCATCATGCAGATCCGTCGGCCGCCCTGGACGGCAAAGTTCACCTCAACAAGCGTTCGGGGCGACTTTCAGCGACTGAGGAAGGGAATACACCTTCGAGTATAGGCTGGCACACATGCTGAGTGGCAAGCGACCAGTTCACCTTGCGAGTCTAGCTCGTGACCGATTCCTTCAGCAAACTGGCACGCTGAACGTTGCTGAACATTCGGAGTTACCAGTTAAGTACAACTTCTCTTATTTTGCATACAACAATCTCTTCAGGGCGTCCCTTCTCCCAAACCTTCCACTGCCACCGTGTGCTGCTGTGTTACCTACTTCATGCGGGCAGGCTGCGCCTCGCGAATGTATGATGCCCACCCTCGTACACACGCACACAAAAAGACTGTACAGATGCAATGCATGGATTGCCAAGACAAGGTTCTTAGCTCTTCCAGCTCGCCTCAATTGTGCCTCTGCCCTTCTGCGCTTCTCGGGTGAGACCATTTGTCACTTGCGGTTACACACAGAACTTCAACTTCAACACCTGAAAATTGCAGCGGTGTTTGCACACCCAATCACACCCACAATCGCCATGAAGCAACCCCGGTGCGAACAATCCACCCCTCCCTCATCTACTCGTGGTAACCCGACTGCCACCAGGGAATATTAGAAGGAATTGCCCGGTGTTGAATTAGAGGCGAAGCAACTGCAAGAAGCCTGACGAATCAAGATGTTCCGAAACTATATGATTGTTTTCCGCCCTTCGTGGGGCAAGGCCTTGCAGCCTTTGGACGTGAGAGCTTCGTACTAGTACTAATAACAGTTCTCGACCTCCAGAACTCTGCAGCCGAGCAGCGGCACTGCGGAAGCATTGGCCGCTTGTGCCTGACGCTTGCTGACGCTAGACTCTAGACTCTAGACGAAAGCGGCCCACTCCTCTTGCGTTTCACAACCCGCCTGAGAACCGGTAGAATGATGACGTCTCCGCCGGCCCCATTGGCTTCAGTCTGTGCCGGGGCATCTCCAGCCACCTGACAAAGCTAACTGGCTTCGAAACCTCCGCAGTGAAGCTCGGGAGTGTTCGTTTTCCTTTGCACGCAAGCGATGCGAAAGCCGAAAGCTTGTCTGGCAAAGGCGTTGAACCTTGGGATCTATATTAGGCTGCTCCTAGATGCTGCGACCTGCCCTGAACTAGGCAGCTGCTCAGAAAGCCTCAACTCCGAGCTTTGATTTCTGAAACCTCGACTATCCCACGGTGGAGCTTCGCCTGTGACCCAGATTCAAGCCGAAGCCTCAGAATTTTGGTGGGAACGCTGTAGGCCTCTTTCCACCGTGGGCCACAACCGGCTTAGCGAAGCACACCAAAACCCCCGCGGATGCTGTCAATTCATAGCCATCCACCCCCACAGCCCTTGACACGGCTTTTAGTAGCACACAACGAACACAGAGCCGACATTCTGTTTGTGATGCAGGCCTCTCGCTGACGTTCCTCTTCTGCGTTTCGCTCCGCTTGGCGCAGCTCCTGCACAGATACTGCAAGTTCCACACGGTTGGAGAAGCCGTACAGAAGAGACGTTGCAAGGTCCTCCTCAACTTCTCTTCGCCGGCCGGCTAAAGCTCTGGGGTACCTGCCATCGAAAAAGCTCCCATTGATTCAGGGCGACTGACCATGCTTGACCCAGAATGATTCAGCTTCAAAGTCGGGGGCACTGCTCCGAAATCATGCTGCCTGGAACATGAGCCAGAACCAGGTACGTGTGCCCAGAATGGTGACTTAACTGGGCGAGAAGCGGATGAGGATGTTCACCGATTGCCCGGGAGGTACCGGTGCACGGCACACGGCACACAGGTTCCTGCTCTGCCAATGCATTGCCCGAAACAACGAATTCAATGCCCTTCTCGGACTTCGATGCCAGCGAAACGAGATTGTGTGCCAGTCTCTCACGTACAGGATCCTACAAAGCCTTAACAGGTGCATACCGGGATTATTCGCGCATGATTTCGAGAACGAAGGTTCTGGCCAGGCAAGACAACGGGAAGGTATTTGACGAACGTATCCGAATGCCTTAATCAAGATGAAAATCTGCTTGCCCTTTTAAGCGCATGGAAGTGTTTGCTCCGGCAGCTCTGGGCTAGTCCGCTCCTGTATCCCATCGCCTGCTCCAAACACGTTTGACCTCGGTGGCTCTGCATGAATGGAACCGTGAATTGCTTGAAAGCTGAGGCACCAACAGAACGTGTGACCGCAAGGCACGGACACGGGCTCCAACAACAACTGCACACGTGCTCAATTGCTGCCGACTCACGACAGATGTTGGACAGTAACTCACATGCTGCACTTAGCGCGTGACCTTCATGCACATCGCTTAGCTCGTGGCCTTCATGCATATCGCGCACTCTAAGTGCGGCGGAATGCTTTCGTCAGCCATGACCACCTGGAGTCGAAATCGAAAGCAAGCGAAAGCAGAAGCAGATAAGGCAGCAATGCGGCATGCTGCGCCAATCAGAAGCCGAAGCCTGATTGGTGTCGCTGTCGTTCATGCTCGCACTGGCTCGCAAGGTTCCTAAAGCCCTGTTCTGAAAACTCTCCGCATTGCTGACCTTTGTTTGATAGCAGGGAACTTGTTGCTTCCAAAGACATTATTTTGTGCGATCGGATGCGTGCGTTTCCTCCTGCAGTCCTAAACTACTAAAGCCAAGGCCCAAGCTGTCATGTGCAAGGTTGCAGATGACGATAGAAGAAAGCTATGCATTCAAATCAAGCAGGGCAGCAAGAGACGGACATTCTCGTGATGATGAACACATGTGTAGCCGCATTCAGCAGGCCAGAATTGACTGATGGATCCATCAAGCCACGGGTTGGCCTTTTTCCGAAAACTTGTTCAGGATCGGAATCCACTCGAGATCAAGCAGTCTCCGATTTCGTCCTCGTCGGCGTTTCTGTGGCCTGGTAGCCTGAACTCAACACTCACAGCTGTAAAGCTTCGCGAGGGCCACACCGAAACCGGCTTGCTGGGCAAAGGAGCTGAGAGTCTCAGAAATGGCTACTCGCAGGCTAGACTTGCTCTAAGTCCGAGTGCCCCAGGAAACACCCAGCCCTCGAGCCTGGCTGAGGGACTTGTGAAAGGCGGGATTTCCTGGCGTTGTGAACCTTCTCCGGAGCGGCCTTCCGAATGCGAACTCATGCGAACGGCGATGCATTCCGCCACTGGTGACGGCGGGCGCGACAAACTTTTTGGGCTCCGACTCGGCCGCTCATGTTTGCGAAATTCTCTCTTGGACATAGTTTTCCCTTGTCTTCAAAGGGCTTCATAGCCAAGTGGGTGGAGCAAAGCTTGCGAAAATAGTCATCTCCGAGAACAACCTCGAGTGTATGGTAGCGCACTATGTGTGTCTACCGGGCTATGAGAACCAAACAACACCGCCACACGGTCGTTCGGTAGGATACATGCACACCCGGTGGCATTTCTCCCACAATGCTTCGTCAATCCTTAGGCCTCCCGCTCTGCCCCGAAAGTTCATAGAGCAACAGACAACCGACTCATCCTTATGGCATGCCGCACCTTGGCAACAAGTACGCCAATGACCAGAATTACCTTGCATGCGAAACGGGCTGAACAAAAGGACTGCATCTTTCCAGCAAGCACGAGAAGCAGCGAGTCTCGCCAAGTGACCGTTCCCAGCACCTGTTCAGGCGAACAAGCTTCGTCAAGCCAAACGGCAGCAAGGATGAGCACCTGAAAGGATGCAACGTATGGTTCGCTGCGTGGACAAAGCCCGGTGCTTGCTGAGGCAGCTGCGAAAACAAGCTGCAAGTTGCCAAACCTCTCTGCAGGGTGTCGGGGGTCAATGGGCATCACCGTGCAATATTTCTGAGTGGACAGATTGCAAGTGCGACGTTAGCCAAGCGACATCTGCTGCATCACCGGGCCCAAGTACCGCATAGATGTCCATTGCGACCTAAACCCGACTTAGTCAAGTCCAGTCAAGCGTTGCAGATCCGAGCGACCATGTCAATGTCCCAAGCTGCAGACAGATTCAGTAGCACCGCTGCCACACAGGAGATCAAAGTAGCACAAAGCGCATGCTTCGAAGCACCAGGCATTGCTCGAAACAAGCCTGCAGCTTCGGCGGGTGGCGCAATGACGCTGGGTCCAGATTTGTAGCTACTGCAATAGTCAGTGATGGCCATGGCACACTGCGGCAGCAAAGAGCAAAAGCTGCCAACCGGGAAGGATGCAAAGTGGCTTCAGTGCCGTGCAAACAAGGAGCTGGCTCCTTCCCAGATTATTGCGAAAGGGAGGGTGAGGAGCAATGTCCAAACGGCTGCCCAGGCAGCAAGGCGGGCCGGCCCCAGTTGTTCCAAGCAGATTAGCCGCTGCTGCCAGATAGATTTCCTTGCGACTCGCTTTTCTTTCCAGGACTTTGCAGTAAGCCGGCATGGTACTGTACATGCACTGTGCAACTTGTCACTTGTAGGGCTGCCCCCCAGAGAGCACCGGCTGTGCTACATGTATTCCCGAACCAATTGTTCAGTCCACAAGTCTTCGGAACGCTTGCATGCTTGGAAATACGCTGCATGTCGCCCATTCTCAAGCACACGTCTGCGCCGTCGCGCCACTTTGCGAATAGCTCGAACTCCCAGGTTTGAAACATGACAAACCCGGAATGGCATGGACCGAAACAACCCGAAAGACTGCAGCATATAGGCATTTTAGGATCTTACTTGCAGTCCAAGAAGCACGCCGCGGGAGGTGCAGCCCGCCAGGACCAGCACCACCGCCAGCAAAGAGGCACTGTGTTCACCGCGGACACAGAGAACGCCTCTGCCGATGCTTTGAGGGCCAGGCCCACTATGCCCTGTCGTGAAACTCAAACCGCGGCCTCCCAAGCAGCCCATCAGGACGGGAACCGCACTCTTCCAGGTGGCATCCCGGCTGCCGGCGGCGAGCTCCATGCCTTTGCTCGGCATGCAAGACTGGCGGGAAGCTCGCAAGTGTTAACAGAGCTATGCAGCATAGCATGACCGACATCACGTTGGCCAGCGCAAACTTTCGAGTCCATAGGTATATAGTTGCAGCAATGTATGCCATGCAGAGTAAGAGGCAAGGCCTCAGAATTCACTTGCATCATCATCGCAAACCCGACGGTGGGATATACAGGGCAGAACTGTGACCGGATAAAGACCCCCGATATCGGCAAATGTCTGTTACAACACACTCCTTTTGTCGGATCCCATTGTTGGTTTTTGTTGCCAATTAAGTTCAGACCTGTCATCATCAAAAGCAGGCTGGGACGAGGCCGAAGTCACATGCACGCTGGCAGCGGTGGCAGAGGGTGTGTGCGATGGAGATCCAGGAGGCGGTGTCAGGAGTGGCTGCAAGCGAGCAAATTCATCACTGCCGGTGCCGCACGCAACACCCTCCCTCCCCCACCCCAGCCGCTTCGTGGGGCCAATGATGACATGGGTCATCTTAGCTTGGAGTCCGGCGTCTAAGAATAACTCTGGACATCTCTGAGCGCTAAAAGACCGCCCTCAGACGATTTCTACGGTGCAGCCGATGTGTACATGTGCGCATGTATGCATGTACGTATGTTCGTGTGTATATATATATATATGTATATATGTATACAAGTAGTTAATTTTCCGGACCGAGGGCTTTGGTAAAAAAGGCTACAGGGGGAAAAGGTTTTGCGAGGTGTTCAAGACCACCATGCGAGAGCACCACGAACTTTCCTCCTACCACGGTAAGTACGTATTCACATATATATTTATATATATCTCTCTAATTTTCTACCGGTACACACATACATTTGTGTGCGTTTGTTTGTTTGTTTACGCCTTTCATCTATTGACGGCTGGGGCTGGAGGGGCCTGGGACCCCCGAAGCTGCGTAAGCTGCGAAGCTACAAAACCATCAAAGAACCCCAAACCCTAAAGTCACTAAACACGAAAAACCCTAAACCCCAATCCCGAAACCCTAACCTCTCAATCGTGAAACCCTAATCCCTAGAGATCTGTGTACAGCCGTTTGTGAGTCAGGGTGGGAGCCATGTCAAGCCTGACTCGAAACCCCCTCCCCCCGCCCCGACACGATCAGGCCTGATAACTGTGCTCTTTGGAAGCCTTCATAGCTTCTCTCGTCTTTGTTTTGCCATGTCCCCGGCCTTGAGACCCAAGCCATGTACATATTGGTTGGGCTACACTTACACGAATGTTCATGGTTTACAGCTACATTTATGTTTGCGGATTCATGCTTGTGCTGCTTTCCTGCATTTCCAGTTGCCTGTGTGCGCCTATTTGTGTTTACATGTGAACCCGTTTGAAAATCTATGCATGTACATAGGTTCTTGTATGTATGCTTGCATGTATGTGTAGCTGTATCTTTATATGTGTCTTCTTCTAACACGTATATATACAGATATGTACATATATATATATATATGTATATATGCATACATGTGTATATACTATGTATTCCTTTGTTTTTCTAAACATAGTTGCATGTGTACTTTTCCTGCACATGCAGTTGATTGTAGATACGAGTATGTACGCCGCAGTATGTATATATCTATATATTACACAAGGGCTCAGAACACCCACAGAGGGATAGCTGAAGCCCCAAGGCACGAAAGTGTGCCGCGATTAGTGCCAATACGGCACCCAGGTCCCCCACTTGGCACCGCCATTTGAGGACCAAACGATCTCGGGTCCGGAAATCCCTCCGCGAGGGAAAACCTGTAAGCCGGAGGTTGATCGAGCTCCTTGCTCGACACCACGGCACTGGGCCGGCTCAACGCCAACGACTCCTGGCTGGATTGGGCATGGGCAAGTCATGGAAGCCAAACAAAGGAGACAAGCAATACCCGCGAGATGGTGGCGCAGAGTCCTACTACCGACTCTGGCGTGGGGCCTACTCGCCCAGGGCTCCATGGCGGAACCACAGCGACGCCGACTACAATGCAGCGGCTTTCCCGAGCTACACCCAAGTTGCACCGAAAGCAACGGCTCCAATCCCGAGCTCGGAGACCAAGCCACCGCCAGGCGAGATGCAGCTGCTCCAGAAGGCCGTCACTACGGCCAAGAAAGCAGAGAACAAAGTTCGCAAAGTAGTGGCCGATCGCGAGACCAATTCTCGACAATGGGACCAGTACCTGGAGAACATGAAGAACAACTACATACAGGAGTTCTTGAAGCACCAGAAGGACCAAGCGTGGTACCAAGAGGAACTCGAGTCAGCACTTACCCAACAAGAGACTGCACGGCAGGCAGTCAAGAGAGCAATCCAGGGAGAGCCGACACAGGAGGACCCTGGAACAGGAAGAGAGCAAGAGATTGCGACCTCTTGGCAGAACATGCGGGACGCCTGGGAGAGACCCATGGATGTCGACTTCAACGGGGTCATACAACGTGCGATGGAAAGCATGGCACCAGTGGGTGCCGCACCAGTCACTGGTCCGAAAAGACTCCGACCAGAAGTCGTGGGGCAGTTCTTCACACCGGAAGCCTTTGCCTTTATGCAGGCCCAAGCTGGCTTCGCTTCGGCGGCGGCAGCTCATGGTGCTGCCCCGACTCCTCTGGAGCCATTTCCTTCTCACCCGCCGCCTCCGGGTTTTGGTCATCCAGGCAAGGAACCAGGATCTTCGGCAAGTCAAGCAGACACGTCAGGAGGAGCTCCTCCACAGAAGATGGAAACCTCACCTGCCCATCCAGGGATGCGCGAACCAGGACAGCATCGTGTGCCGACATATGCAGAGCCCCCTCGCTCGGATGTCAAGACTGCCACCAAAGTCTCCCCGGGAGGCCGGGTGGACCCACATGGCACACTGGCACAGAAGTTGGATGCCAAGCGCCAGCAAGAGCTTCAGCGAACGGCGATGCAACCCTTTGGCATCCAGCGCAAACCACCGGAGACAGTGGATGGACAAGATTTGGAAGACCAGGATTCCGATCAGGATCTGGAAGAGCTCCACCGTGCTGGGGCTCCGAACGCTCCTCGCTCACCTGGGCTTGGCAAACTGGAGTGACACAAGGTTCGAGGCCTCATACTTGCCCCTTCGGGCGGACAGCTTTTGCAGTGAGGAGCTTGGTTAGGCAGATGTCCAAGGCTAAATTGTCAACACGCCGTTGGGGTAGCAGACTGCCGGGGCCCAGAGAGCCTACCATCTCAATGGTGAGATGGATGGCGCTCACGTCTCCCGTCGGTCAATGCTGCCACACTGGCATGTTGTCAAGTTCGGCCTGGGGACTCCTGCGGTCTCACCCTGTAGCCTGCAGCTGCTCGGATCCGCCTCCCTCTGGTCACTCTTCTCATTCCTTCTGGGGAGGCACCGACCACACACATTGGGCTCTTGTGACTGTGGTTCGTTGTGCCTCCAAAACCCTCTCCACCCAAAACTGGCACTGGGTTTGTGTCGAGCTTTGGATGGGTTCCTCTCCCCTTTCTTCCTGTCAGGCTGACTCCAATGCCAGTGATTGCATACCTCGCTGGGATCCTCTCCCACCTGACATCCTTCTGGTCTCGATCGATGTCGGTGGCATTGGGTCCTCTTCTTCCTCGCGGAAATCGGAGGGGTGTCTGTCTTTCACCTTCGCCGGTTTCCCCCTGCCATGCCAGCATTCTTTGTGTTCTGCCCCATTCCCTGCTTTTGTCCTCAAGGGTTACTGCATCTCACAGCCATTTGCAGTTGATCACGGAGTTGGTTGGAGACTAAGCGCCTTGATTTTTGGCTGCACTCCATCACCACATACTTCTGAGCCCTTTTCAGACCATTCTGTTTCCACCGTCGCAGCCGTGGCGCCACAGGGCCTCGCTCGATGTCTTTGGCAATCGCATGACCGGCCTCCCCGAGCACCTAAGAGACGTATCGGTGGTTCAGGGGCGTCCGCCGGGGCCCCGGTCATCTGCCCACCTTCCCTTGGCCCCCTTGGGTTTAGTCCTCCTCCCCCTACGGTTCACGGTTTCTCTTCCTCTTCAGAGGTTCACTGACTTCCTTGAGCAAGTTGGTTCCTTCCTGGTGCCATTGGGCAGGGCCATCCTTTTCCATTTTGCACTGGCCCTCTACCTGTGTCTCTGGAAACAGATCCCGCACAGACGGGAGCCACTTGGTCGTCTCCTTGGGCTCCCCTGTAGAGGAGCTACGACGAGGATTTTATGGAGTCTCGGAGACTTCTCTCCGAGGCATTCAGCCACCAAGCCCCCCACCAGGGGCCTTGGCAGAGGATCTTTTGACCGTTCCCCTGTGCGACACAGAGGTCCGTCCTCCTGTGGCAACCGGTTGATTCTTTGGCTCCTCTCGATGCTTAACTGCCCGGCCTGCCCATGGGCCGCCCCGGTTAGGCTTCCTTTTGCTCCAGGGGCTGAGGTTGTTCTTGAGACAGGGCATAGGATTGCTTCTCAGGGCAGCGAATCCACATGCCAGCCAGACCCTCTTCCACACACATGGCACAGCCCCTCAGAAGAAACACGGGGACCCGTAACGGCAATGACCTCGGATAACTTGACACAGAAGGTCCAGTGCGTGCTCTTCTCTCCTGGATACCCTTCCCAAAGTGTTCAGGTATCAGTCAGCGTGCCGGTCACACCCGAACACTTCCTTCAAACAGTCGTCGACAATCTCAGCCCCAGGAAGCTCTTCTTTGCGGCTGACCTGGACTTTGTCGAACCTCAGCCAGAGGAGGGCTTTATGTCACTACTTCTGGTTCCGCAGTGGCTTGAGCAATCTGACTTTGCTGAGATCATCTTTGACTTTTCTGCAGTTGGGGGTCCGGTCTATGCAGCCATTGTTGCAAAACACCTCCCTCATGCTCAGGTCATCGAACATGCCAGCATGCACACAGAGTCCCCTTGGGATGCTTTCCAGACGGGACAGTCTGAGCCGCTACGATCAGATAGGCGCATTCGGGTTGTAACTGGCGACACCATCAAGTTCGTCGCGGTTTATGGTAGTCCTCACTGGTACCCGCCCTCCACTGAGTGCCTTAGAGATCCGGATTTCCTTTCAGCTGACATCCGACAGATCGTGAGCGAAGAAGTTTCAGACTCCTGGCTCATACTTGCGCCAGACATCGAACGAGACATCCTCCATTCAGGTCAGCCAGATGCCCAACTCAAAGAGCACGCTGCCAGTGCCCTGCACTGCCGAGGAGACCAGCTCATGCTGTGCATCCCTGACAAAACCAAATTTCATCCGTTTGTCCACCAGGGCGCCCTTCTTGCAGGTGTGATTGCGGCGCGACAACTGACACCGTCAGAGATCTGCGGTGCTGGCCCTGGTGTCCTCATTGTTCTTGACTGTCGGCCCGTTGGCAGAAAACCCACCTTCTTTCACAACAGGGACCCACACGTCGGTGAAGCGGTCTTGCATCATTTTCTTGATCTACGACCCCCCCGTGGCTTCCAGCTTGTTCTCAGTGGTCTCCCAAGAGTCGGGGATGCATTTTGGGCTTACAACGGCAGTGTTCTCCGCGTTGACTTTGAGCCTTCCTGCCTCACCCCACCGCATGGGTCTACCTGTGACCCTACCGACACCGGTGGAGCCATCGCAATGCGCAATCCATACCAGGCTACAGGCGGCTGCCAAGGTGTTCCGTGGCAAAGAGCAGCGGATGTAACCCGCGATGTTCATCCACCAGCCCGTTTTGATGATGAGGCACGCACGCCACCACCTGTTGCCTTCACGAGGGAAAGACCGCAGGGAGCGCCTCCAGCAACGTTCCTACATGGCCACTTCTTGGTATTTGCGCCACGATACCGTGCTGAAGTGCTCCCTCTAGTCATGCGAGTACCGTGTGCACAAGACGATGCGCTCAATGAAATACAGGAAGCCCGGAACGAGGATCAATCCCTGTACTTTGATACCCTCCTTCCTGTCGAGCCTCAACCCGACAATCGTTTTGCCTGCATCCTGTCCCTGCCTGAGTGGGCCACCACACTGTGTCATGTCTTAGTCGACCTCCGACAGGTCGACGGCAGGCTCTTCAGCATTACTCTGCCCGAACGACTCTCCAGAGCCTCGCTACTTGCTTTTGTTGCGCTTGCCGATGCGCCAAGGCTGCGCATATTTCTCGCTGACCGACTTCTTCCTGCCGAAGGGGACATAGTTCCGGAGAATGGAGGCCTGATCACGTTTGTGCCAGAAGGCCGACACCTTGGTCCGCTCTATCCCTTCGACGAACTTCTCGGCTCTGAGCGTAACTGGACTATACCGTGCCCAATGTACCCCGGACCCATCCGGTCGGCCGTGCTTATATACAACGATGATGTACCCAAAGTCATCTCGTACGAGCCGACTCCAGCAGACACTCTCACTGTGTTTCGAAGGGTTGTAGCCAGTTTCCTTGGCTACGACCTTGCAGACACCATCCTGCATCCATCTAATCCTGCAATAGAGGATGTAGAGCACTTTGGTTATACCTGCAAGTCGATCTGTGTTGCCACCCGGCACTCCAATCGACCTACCAGCGGTGAGGGACATGACGACACACATATAGTCATTCTTGACACCAGACCGATTCTTCGGGACATCGAATGGCTCACCGCTGATCAAGGGAGACTTGACTTCGATGGTCTGTGTGCCAGATTTGATGCAGAGGCACCACAGGGTCACCCCACCAGCATCAAAGGAGGTAGACATGAACTTCGAGCTGAGGGCACACTCGTGCATGTCCCACAGGCTGGGATCCTTGTGGTTCAATATATTCCCGACTTCCTTGAAAACTCGCCGACCTCCAATGATGCAGAACTCTACGGACAGGAGCAAGAAGATGCGCAAGAGGACTCTGAGTCCACCTGCACTGATTCCAGTGACCCATCTGATGACGACGGGGCAGAGGCTGGCCAGCGTGAAAGGAGCCGCTCTCCCCGCCGCACCGATAGAGCGCACAGCCAGGACTCAGCTGGTGATGCCGCCACGCTTCCTACCACTCGCGGCATCACAACCCCTACAGCAACTGACAGCAAAATAGAAGCCTACTTCGGTCCCATTGGTTTTTCGATACTTTTCGACACACCGTCTGTACCGGTTTGGCTCGGGGTTCCTTTGGGATTTATGCCCTGGGTTTATTACCCATAAGCTCCTAGGGGACTCCGACTCCTGTCATGTCTCACAGTGGAGCGACAATCTCCCGGCCTTTGGTGATGGGGCCCAGGCGACTGCGAACTGGACATACACAGCCCCTCCTGACCATCGGGAGTTCACTACCGACCAGGAAGGAGGACAGTTCGATGAAGTTTTACATCTGTCAGAGGAAAGACAGTTACACTTTGTCGTTGCCGCAATTGATTATTCATTGCGTCAGGTTGAAGCCACACTCATCATCCCGGCAATCCCACCAGAGGCCCTTGCGGCTGTTCAAGGTGCCAGGCCATCCGCTGACCGAAGACGATTTCCGATCCTTCACCCTGCGAATCCACAGCCAGTCCCTGGTGTCGGTGTACTCATTGCGGAACCCAGCTGGGGACCACAACCTCCAACCATTTGTGTTGACACCAGGCTGATCGATGGCCGTCTGTTTGCATACCGTGGCCGCACCTACGCTGACCGTTTTGCCCTCTTGCATCTAGCAGGCCTTCCACACCAGCTTGCGATTGATGTCTACGTAGGCCAAGACCTTGTCCCTCTTCCAGACGGTACAGATCTGCACCTCACTCCTGGGGTTACGGTTCGCTTCGTGCCTGCCGGACTGCCTGTTGCGCACGCTGCCGAATTTGCAGACTGCCTACGCAACCCTGCCTGGTGGAGCTTGGTACCATACACGGTCGCCCATAGTCAGGTTGCTAGGTATGGATTAGTCTTAGATGGTCAGATTGTCCTGCATGAGACTGATGTAACCTGCCCGACCAGGTATAAGCATCAGATTGCGACATGTATAGGTCTTCCGGTCTCTGGATTCACACTTTGCCCAGCCAATCCAAGGACGACGGACTGTGCCATCAATGGGCACCCAGTTCGAGCCATCATCGGGATTGTCGAAGGTGCCCAAGCGGCCTTGCCAGCGTACTGTGCTTTGGTCGACTGTCGGCCCCAATGCAATGGATGGTTTACCATCTCCCTCAACGGTGGACGTATCGATGCCTGGGAGCTCCTTGACAATCTGGACATGCAAGCTCCACGGGGATGGCGGTCTCTCCTTGTGGGCCATCCCAGTTCTCAACAGTACGCGGCTGCCCATCCCGGCAGCGTGTTCGTTGCAGAATATGCTCCCTCACGACCAGCTCCCATCCCTCTACTGCATGGAGCGTCCCACGACGAAGCCTCTACAACTCCGCTACCAGCTATCCCTCACCAGGAAGGAGATCAGATGTCTGCACAGCCCAGAAGCGGACCCAATGCTGATCCTGCGACTCCTGCAGCGTCCTCTGCCGACGCAACTGCTGAAGGCCTGCAGAGCTCTTCGAGTGAACAGGCGACGAGCCAACCATCAGCCTTCGTTACAGCCACCTTCTGCATTCTAGGTCAACACTATGAGGATGAGCTTGTCCGAGTTAGGATCCCCGTTGGCACAACGCCTTCGGAAGCAGTTGAGGCAGTCAGTGCAGCCCGTGATCCAGCTGTCCGCAGTTACCTCCCCAGAGTGGGACATGTTCCTATCCAGTCCCTTGACGGAATTGCGGTTTTAGTGGGTTTGCCTCTTTGGGACTCTTCCGGAGCTTTGATAGTCCTTGATAGTACTAGGGCCGGCAGCACTATCCACGTGGCACAACTTCCAGGCCTGGTTCAGAGAGAAGGGCTTCTTATTGCAGCTGGGTTCTCCCCTAACTCGGGCCTGGAGGTTTACCTCAAAGACATCCCCTGGCCCATCCAACAGGGATCCCAAGTGTCTGTCAATCACGGGGATACAGCTATCTTTGTCCCGCCAGGACACACACATTTTGTCACCACTACCCTACAAGCTATCCTCAGTTCGACCGAGCATTGGAACTCGTCATGGGCTCCGTCTCCTCCTGAGGGTGAGCGTGCATGGGTTTTGACTTCCGACGCACCCTTCTCATTTACGATTTCACCTGATCGTAGAAGTCACTTGCGGCATGACTTGCTAACCGCCATAGGCGGTGGAGCACACTTTCTGTGCTCCCCTGAGCCCCTCGCTCCAGCCTACACACATCAAGGCCTCATACACGATCACATCATTGCGGCCATTGATCCCGTTCCACCCTCGGAACCAGATGCCGACAGAATCTTCTGTTTCGTCGATGCACGGCCCCTGCTACTCCGCGTCGAGTGCCTCCTCGCCTACGACGGCATTTTGCCATGTGCAAGGCTTCAAGCGCAATATGCCAGCAGATGCCCTCCGGGTTTTGTGCTATGTTACTTCGAACAGGATGGCTTTGTACATCCTGTCATCCGGGACATCAGAGTGCGAGGCTTTGAGGTTGTTGTGCTCACCTTCCTTCCTGCACACTTTATCCCAGATCCGCAAGAGACTGACAGCTCGTTGCCCCCACAAGAGGACCCGTCGTCTCGCGATGACGAGGGGCCGGATGAATCACAGGAGGATGGCGATTCCGCTGCTGCGTCGCAACAGTCTGTTTCCATTGACGCGTCGACAGGGGTCGATGCCGGCACTGGTGGCTCCAGGCGTTTTGATTCACAGCTCGCACCCATCCAATCTGCTGCAAATTCCTCCCGGCATGCTGCCAGAGGGAGGTACTGCTTCCAAATCAATGATGCGATCATTCCAAGGGGGATACCAAGTGTGCGCCGCCTTTCCGTCAAGTGGAACTGGGTCAATGTACTTCCCGCCCTTACAAGAGGGCTGCCCGGGGACACCTCTGATGATGATGTCGGCCTCCTTCGTTGGATCCTCTTTCTCCTTGCCATTTGCGGTGCCTTTCTCGCCCTCAGCCTTAGGGCTCTGAGCCGCTTTCCTACTCTTTGTGCAGTTGGGCTGCTCCATGTCCTTCTTCAATCGCACGGTGCGATTGCGGTCCAGCTTGGGGATACAGCTAAGGTCATTGCCATCCGACCTCCCAACTCACAAGGCATCTCTGGGAGCACTGTGCCCACGCCATGCCGTAATGTCCCCTTGGGAGGCACAGGGCATACCAGCCCGACTAGCGAGGATGATGATCTTTGCAGCCAATTAAGAGAGCTCTCCGTTGATCGGGGTGACGCCTTGTGCACACTACTTGAATGCAGTAAAGTTGAAAGTGAGGATCGTCCACTGCTCCATGCCTGGACTCTCTTAGAAACTCTGCTTGAGCATCAGGTTTCTGATAGCCCTCTCACAGCGAGAGACACAACTGTGCTTGGGCCCAGACCCCACCCTCCTGTGCCTCGGGGCCCTGATGGCCACACCTTCGGTGCTGTGAATCTAGCAGAACCTTCCAACCTTGATTCCCGGACTCCCCAGCCCATCCGGATCGGAGACCACCTTCCACGAAGCCAATGGCCAATGGGGCAGTCAATCCGGGGATCCGCTTATGAAGGCCTCACGGGCGCTCCTCCAACTGCTTTGCTCTGTACAACCTGCCTTCAAGGGTGCCGTTGATCATGTCCACTCCCACCAGGGACAGCCGGGCAATGAACTCGCGGACTCGCTTGCTAAGTTTGCGGTCAGAACAACACATAAGGCCCCTTTGTCGAATAGAGCGAAGGAACTAGCTCAAGCGATACGTGACGGTTCTGTTCAATGGTGGTGGCTTATCCACACAGGGGCGGTTGCCCCACAGGCATGGCCACAGCTATGCGGCCCCCACCTCTCGGACCATCACCGGTTCTCTGACAACAGTCCTCCATCCGACTTAGAGGCCAAAGCTTGGTTTGGGTACGAGTCGAATCTTAGACATAAGCCAGACCTTACCAGGCTGCTTGTGCTTAGGCTCCTTACGGTCAATGTGCAGACACTCAATGACCCGTCCGCCCCCGCAGGCGATAGTCGAGATTTCAAAGGTCGAGCAGGTTTCCTCAGAGAACAGCTCGACTCCTTGAACATCCATGTGGCAGCGCTCCAAGAGACGCGGGCGTTAGCCAGCGACACGATTACCTCGCACTCCCACATCCGCTTTTGTTCCGGCAAAGACCCAGCCGGTTGCTTGGGAGTCGAGATTTGGTTTAGTCGACTTCTCCCTTTCCTGGGCGATAGGGGTTCCAAGACTTACTTCCAGCCGGGAGACTTTCTCGTTGCTTTCGCTGACCCACGAACACTGGTAGTGCGATTTGCCAGGGGCAGCATCAAGATCCTATTTGTCTGCGTCCACGGCCCCACCACATGCGACCCGCAGAGAGAGTCATGGTGGGCAATGCTCCACGAACGCCTCCACAGATTTAGCGAGGCGCACGAGGTTGTTCTTCTAGGGGATTACAACACCCACTTTGCAGTCCCCATACCAGGACGGGTAGGATCTCTTGTTTTCCCGGGCTCGGGTTCGGTTCCAACGGGCCTCCAGAAGATTCTTCACACTCAAGACATTTGGCTGCCGGCCACGTTCCCTGATATACACCAGGGAGCTTCTCACACTTGGGTCTCTCCCTCTGGTTCCTCGGGTTCTAGAATTGACTTCGTTGGGATTCCATGTACGTGGATAGCCGGTCCACAGTCATCCTGTGTCCAGACAGACTTGGACTGGGGACAGGGCCACACTGACCATTACGCGGCCCAGGTCGAAGTGTCTGCCTTGGTCAGAGCCTCAACGAGTGGTCCCCACAGAGTCCGGCTTGACAGAGAGGCAATGTGCACTCCTGAAGGGCAAATTGTGCTCTCTGAGATCTGGAAACAGGCACCTCCGGTGCCATGGTCCACCAATGTCCACAGACACTGGGCCGCCTTGGAAGGTTACCTACGAGGCGAACTGACCAAGGCCTTTCCCAACCAGAGAGGCCAATGTAGATCCTCCCATTTCAGCGAGCATACGTGGCACCTGAGACAGAGAAGAGTCTGGCTGCGGCGCCAGATTTTAAAATGCCGCGACCTGCTTATGCCGCCAGCCTTACGCGACTCGTTTGTTGCATGGCGACGCAAATGCCGGCTCGCTGTTACCAAACTCTCAGGCAGTCTTCTTGTAATGCACCTACAAAGCAGACTCTCAGGTTTTGCGACAGAACTGCGCCAGACTCGCAAGATCCTCCGGCAGGCGGTTCGCCAAGACATCCAACACCGAATCGTCACAGTTGCGGCAGAAGCTGAACATTGTGCCACTGCTGAAGCCGTTCGGCGACTCAAACCCCTTCTGGGTCCTCCTAAACGTAAGGCTAGGACACACAAAGGACTCCCCCTAGTCCTTACAGCCAACGGCGCTCCGGCCACCACGGCAGAGGAGGTCGAAGACACATGGGTGCAGCACTTTGCAGGCATCGAGGACGGCCGCAAAGTCCAGCCTGCTCAACTTGCAGCGTCCTGCATGTCAATACAAAGCGGTCGGGATCTTGATCTGATCTCCTTCAACAGGGATGACATCCCGAGCCGGATCGAGCTTGAAGCTGCGCTCCGAGCGACCTCGACAGGCCGAGCATCAGGCCTCGATGGAGTCCCCGGGGAGGCCCTCCACTGTGCAGTTGCGGCGGCGTCTGAGGCTTTGTATCCGTTGCTGCTCAAAACCAGCCTACGGTTGGCCGAACCGGTTCAGTTCAAAGGGGGCAGCCTAGAGGCTGCCTGGAAAGGCAAAGGCTCGCCAGCAGTCTGTGCCTCCCACAGAGGCATCCTCATCTCAGCAGTCACAGGAAAGGCCTTCCACCGTCTGCTCCGATCTCGATGTGTTGGACCGCTGGCATCGGTCACCTCTCCTTTGCAGCTAGGAGGACTCCCTTCTTGCCCAGTGACAGCTGTCTCTCATTCGGTTCGTCTCTTTGTCGCTGCGGCTCGAGCTCATAAGCAATCGTTTGCTGTCCTGTTTTTGGATCTCCAGGAAGCATTTTATCGAGTTTGCAGACCCTTGCTTACCGGTGCACAGCTGAGTGATGAGGCCATTGCCAAAGTTGCAGCTACCATCCGGTTGCCACATGGAGTGTTGCACGAACTCCATTTGCACTTAACAGGGAATTCTGTCTTTGAGGGTAGTGGGGCCAGCTCCTGGCTGTCCGGCGCCATGAATGAGGTGCTGGAGGCTACATGGTTCCGCTTCAAAGCAGGCCCCTCCCTTGTGCAAACTGGTATCGGAAGCCGTCCAGGCGACAACTGTGCCGATATCATCTTCTCTTTCCTCTTCTCCAGAGTGCTCCAAGAGTTATCCAAGGATATGGCGGCCAGGGGATGCACGACCCAATTGCCATATCACGATTCCATGCGCGATGACATCTTCAATTCGGGAGCTGTGCCTCCGCAATCGACTGATATCTTCGATGCTACTTGGATGGATGATCTCGCACTCATGATGCTGTCCGACTCAGCAGAGTCAATAGTTACCAAAGCTGGACATGTAACGGGATTGCTGGTTGACGCTTGCTTATCTAGAGCACTCCTACCCAACCTGGCCCGGGGCAAAACAGAGCTCATTATCGTACCCTCGGGGACTGGCTCGAAAGGCGTCCGTGCAGGCCTTTTTAGGGACAAGGATCCCTCCATCGAGATCCCCTCAAGACTGTGGCCTGGGGCCAGAGTGCGAGTGGTCAACTCCTACCGACATCTAGGAGGTACAATCCACTTCACGGGAGACCTCTCAAGAGAAGTCAGGTCCAGGGTCGCACTTGCTCATGAAGCGTTCCAGAAGAGAAAGCGCCATATCTTTGGGTCCCCAACTGTCCCCAAGGAGGCAAAGGCCACCCTGTACAACTCACTTATCCCCTCGGTGCTCCTGCATGGGGCCGGTACCTGGCCTGGACTCAGTGCGGCAGCGCTCTCCTCCCTGAGTTCTGCGTATGAGAGGATGGCTTGTCATATGTGTCGGCCACACTGGGACTTTGATCAAGCCCTTCATTCCGGTAGAGATCAGGTCCTTGCTTATCTGGGACTTCCCTCCGTTGCGGTCCTTCTGCACATCCACCGCCTCCGACATCTGCTGTTATTTGTCCGTTTGCAGCTGGGACAGCTCTGGGCCCTTGCACACTGGGAAAATGATTGGCTCGCCACTGTCCGTTTGTCCCTTGCATGGCTTTGGGACATTGTCCGATCCTCTAAGGATATGAGATCCTGGGAGGACATCTGGCCGGAGTGGCTTCAACTGCTACATACGGCCCCCGGCAAGTGGAAGAGCCTGCTCAAAAGAGCCCAGGCCAGAGCCGTCCACATCGAGGCATGGCAGGCTGCCTACCACAGACACTGCGCACTTCTTGTCCACCAGCTTCAACGTAACGGAGCCATCTCTTACGGCTCGACGCTGGACCAACAGGATCAGGTGCACTGCTGCGCGCTTTGCCGCACCACCTTCTCCACCCGACAGAAGTGGTCGGTGCACGCCTTCAAGTGTCATGGACGGCGTATGGCCGGGAGAGGTATTCTCCCGGGCCTACAGTGCCAAGCATGCCTCCGTACTTACCCCAGTAATGTCAGACTCTGCCGGCACCTTCAGTATTCCCTCCCTTGTCGTGCAAAGCTACTATCCTTGGGCTACTCATGCAGTGTAGAACCCGGCGTTGGACACCGCAAAGATGACGACAAGGCCGTTGGTTTATGCCCAGCTTTGCCTGGGAGTGGACCACTCCGGTTGTTCCCACAGCTTCCTGATGTCCACCAGGAGGTCTGCCCTGTCGCCGAGGTGTGGGACTGTTTGCGGCTTGTCGACTTCGACGGCCCCATAACGGACCTTTCGGATGAAGAGTTGTGGGACCGTTTGCGCCTGTCGTTCTCTTGTGTCTGCGCATCGACTGATCGCCTTAGGGCGACGGCCTTGTCTTGGGCCGAGTTTCTACATGCCACGGATGGCAGCACCCGACTCGTTGACTGTGCGGAGTGGATCAGTACGACCGACATTGTTGCTTGGCTTGTGCCCACACCTACTGTCCGCCAGTCCATGTACCGAACCTACAGAGATTCTGTCCACATTATTGGTCTCCTTGACACCTCCCCGATCCAACCGGGATCTCCTGGCCCTCTCACTCCGGACCTTGTCTTTCTCCGGGTTCATTCTGGGTCGAGGGTGTCACCACTGTCGCTCTGCGACCGCTGCTTTCTCGAGTTCACTCATGATGAATGCCTTTTGGCTTTCGCCAGGGGGGATCAACCAGCGTTCTTTGATGGCCCTTTTGACGATGTCGCTTTTGCTATTGACCTCACGGGGCTTCCACTCCTCCAGACTTTGCCGTGTCTGGATTCTGGCCTCTCGTCTGGTCAGGCGGAACTCGGAAAAGCCATTCTCGGCGCTGACCTCCTTCGCTTCTTCTTGAGGCTGATTCTCCTACGTGTGCCGGCTATCCTGGTCGTGTCGCCCACGACAGATCTCTGCATCCAGTCAGTTTCTACACTATCAGGGATCCGAGCCTTTAGCACAGGAGAGCACCGAATACTCTCGAATAGCAGCGACCTTCTCGGTCACTTTTGTCTCACTCCAACTTAATTAGTGCAAGCCAACGGGCTGCATCCGAACCGGAGCATGTGCCCCAAAAGCGAGAAAAGCGAGATATATTACACATCTAAACCTGCATCTATACCGTCTGCGGCTATACCTGTACCTATGTGAGAATGTGTGTAGATGTATACATGTATTCTGTATAACACATGATGAACTTATGAGCTCGGCAAGCTTAATCACGGAAGAAAGCACAAGTCGTAACATGCCTCCCAGCAGCAGTAGGTGACCACAGGTGTGCAGGAGCCCAGCATGGTTACAAAGCTCACACTGGCCTTGTTCACGACAACTGATGCAACCGGATTCAGACTCTGGCTCCGAAGCGCTGATCCGTTCGCTCGTTTCGCTTGCTTAACTCATGGCCCGACCTGTGTCAGCGCCACATTGTGGAGCAGCACAGCGCCACCACCAGCTACCGAAGGTGGAAGTGTCTGCAGTGCCTCAGGTAGTCTCCACAGTTGTGCATGTCATTTTGCGCTGCAGGATGCACGCAAACCACCATGGTCCATGCTGCTAGTCTCGCGAGTCCCGGCAAGGGCTACCATCTTTCTGCAAAGCACCATTCGCAATTCGCCCGGACGTGGAGGGCCGGCAGCAAAGGCAGTCAGGACAGTCAGTAACATGTGGAGGGCCTCAGAATTCCCGAATCGCACGCTGTGGAACCCTGGGAGAGGATGCAACAGGTACTACCAGTCGCCGGTTGCTGGCTCGCTGCCGTCAAAGAGTATGGATATGGCAGGCCATCATGCAGCGCAGCTTTCATAGCCACTTGAACCACTGTCAGCGACAGGAGGAGGGTCGACAGCGAGACGAATGCCCACCAGCCCTGGTAGACCAAGACAGGCACCATGGCACTCACGACCTCAGAGCTTCACATCGACACACTGTCTTTGACATGATGCCAAAACACCCCGTAGCTCCGTTGCTGTGCAAAGAGCCAGTCCGCCAAGAATCTGAGCACAAATCATCCTCGGTGCACTTTGGTCTGCTGCAAGCGTGTAAAAGCATGCTTGTTCCAGCTTGCTAGATTGCAGGCACTTAGAACAAATTGCCTGCACGATGCCAAGATTCACCTGCACGTCGTGCAACAGAAGCCTGTGTGGGAAAATCTGTATGCCAAGTGGCTTAGTGCGTCGTGTCTCGATGGCAATGCGCGGGTCGACAAGCTGTTGCGGATAAGACGTTGAGACGGTGTGCACCTGATGCGAACTTCCAGAGAAAGTGAGCGATGGCCCTGCTGGCTTCGACTACTATACCTACGTGGTCCCCGAATCGAGGTGAAAGCAAGGCGGTTGCTGTTCATTCGGTGCCCAGTTCGTGCCTTTCTCATGGATCGTAGTACTCGATCGAAACGGCCCTTTGGGAAGCAGTGGGTTAGTTCCCTCAACGAAGGTGCGGAGCGACTTCCAGCAGGACGATTATGAAAGGTGCTCAGCGCAGTGAGCAAGCCTCGCTGGGAAACCCGCTAGGCAGTGTAGGCAATCGGCCTTCAACCCTGAGGATGAATCAGAGGCGAGCAGCGCTTTGGTTCGTCCCAGGTTTGTTGAAGTTGTCCTGCTGTGACAAGCCTGAAGATCTCTCTCTCTCTCTCTCTTTCTTTGCGTTGCTTTGCTCCGCTCTCTCTCTCTCTCTCTCTCTCTCTCTCTCTTCCGGGTTTGCACTTACACACACTGACTTGCCGATGCCTGCCATAAGGCCATGCTGAGCGCTGGTTGGGGCCGCCTGCACCTTTGAAAGCGTATCTGCCGCTGCTCGCCCTGAATAGTCTGCATCGTGAGACTACACGCAAGCCGAGTGAACCCAGGTGATCTTTGTGATCTGCTTACACTCTTGCATCCGAAGACGAGACACCACCGCCCCGGGGACTGCAGCACCCACAGCATGTTGTGGCCTTGGGCTTTTGCGCTTGAAGCATTCTAAGCAAAAACTAACGGCCGCTTGACATCGCTTGACAAGCCCTCTCGTCAAGCCAAAGCGTCAAGCTCGGTTTGTCGAACTCCGACACCATGAGCACATCTGCCCCGGCCGACCACAAGACACCTGGTTTTGACCCATTACGTACCAAGTTGATACTGATGCAGCTTCCACATGCAAGTACGAAAGGCTTGCCCAAAATTTCGGAGCATATAGGGCTGTTTGGCCTTTGCTGACTGATGGTTTTCTGATACTGAAGACTGGACACAGGCTTCAATGCTCTGTCACAGCACTTGCGATGCAACAATCCGTCCAAGAGCGGCCCAAGCGAGCTCTGCTGCGCTGCCGACAAGCAACCATCGACGGCAGCTGACAGAGACGGCCAGGTCACACAGCACCACACCTGGAGTTCGCCGAATATTGACGGCTCCAGCTTCTATGGAGACTGACACTGATGATGTATGAAAACACAACACACGGGACTCTGTTGCTGGACAAATGTGGAAGACCTGGACCCAGACATGATGAGCAGCCACATTAAATGCAGCCTTTCGGTCTCAGGCGGTCGGTTGCACGCAACGAACCAACAGAACGTCGACCGTGGGGTTCATCACTACGTACATGAATGTAAGTCTAGCCTAGCCATCCAACTAACTCGCCACACTGTTCGAACCAGGAGGCAGCAAGCAACGACCACATGCTAGTCGTTGAAGGCCTGCGCGAGAGCAAAATGGCAGCGCTTGCCGCCAGAAACCACAGGGGCGAGAACGACTGAGCTGGAGCTGCAATGGTGAAGATAATACTGTACAAGTGACATCACACAACACTTTGGGACGACTTTCCGTATCCACGTGAACAATCACAAATCACCTGCCTTTCCCATTCGGTCGAACTCATCAAAATGTTCCTGAGCAAGAGAGGAACTGTCCGAGGCTGCTGGCGCTTACGGGCGCTAAACTTCTCCAGGCGGCAAAGTGAGCAAAGGTCAACAGCCTGCGCCTCTGCTGTCACGGCGGGAAGCTGCTCGAATCATGGTTCGCGCTATGCTTTATACTGAAAGGCGGGACCGGAAAGACCTGGCACCTGCTGAATAACAGTAGTCGTCTCACTGCTCGCAAGCTCCGCCAAGGAGCTCAGGGCGCATAGCTGGCGGAACTGACATAGGCTTGCGCCAAAACAGCGCTGGAGGACGCGATTTGTCAGATAGCGGTCCAACTTGGAAGGCAACATGTCTGCCAAACCTTCCCCGGGCAGCGGACACTCACCGTGTGAGCACACCGCTACTCGAAGCTACATTTGCGCACATTGTCTCGCCGTAGCACAGTAGGTTAGGCCAACCATCCCCAACCTGCATTAGGCGCTGTAAGGCCCACTCTCTGTGCTTCAGATCTCACACTGCACAGGTCAGGCCCCTGCTGGTGGCTACAAAGCCCCGCCGCACTACGTATAATTTCGGAGACGAGCGGATTTGTATTAGGGCTCGAGACGTGCCGTTTCAGAGCCAGTCTCGCCGCCACGCAGAATCTGATGACGCAGTGCGCAACAGCGCAAAGAATTGCCGCACATGTCCTGTGGCCTGCTGGAAAGCTGAAGTGTAAGGGGAGCATGTAGTCTGCCAGAGAATGGCAGAGAGCTTTTGTCCGTCTTGCTTGGCAGCGCTACCTTTATGCACGACGGCATAACCTCTGTGAGACAAGCCGCGACAGGAACAGGAACTCGCGGAGCCGCAAACTCCAGAAAGTGAGAGCTGCGAGAAAATCATCGGATCGGGGCCAGGATCCGGTTTTCACTCGCGGAGGCGCTGCGCCTCCACCGCGTCAAAGCCAACCGGGGATTGAACAAACTCCTCCGACCTTTACATTCATTACGCTACTTGCCCAGCTTGTCCTTCGGCTCTGGCGAGCTCAGAACCCGGTCACGGAACGGATTCGTGGGGTTTGTGGGATCCATGTGCTCGATGTTCTCCTGGCTGGTCTGGACACTGCAAATATGCCATCCCTGGGCGATGAAAAGTGCAAATCCCATGTCCTCGATTTCAACTCGGAACCTGACAACCAACAGGAGTTCTCGCTGAGGATGACAGCACGGAAAAGTGACACAAGGACGTGGTGCCGTGGTGCCTTGCCTTGCGCGCCACTCCGGCAGCGCCAAAGGCTTCCGTGGCTTGTCGCGAACTGCAGGGGTTGTCAGGACAGACAAAATCACGCGGCATACTGCCTTGAACACCAAACTTAATCCCAAACCCATCTCAAAAACTGCATCCTCTACATCCCCTGCTCGGAAACAATCACGTGCCAGAAAAGGCAACCATCGAGTGCTCCAACACTGCTTCCAAACACCCAAGCCTGGGAAGTCTGCCCAAACGAATTGACCGCTCAGGAAGCCTTGTTCCGAGCAGATCATGTCAAGGCCAAGGCCCATAAGTGCTCTAAAGCCCGTGGTGGGGGTGAGAGCAAAATTGCAAAATACCCTACACAAGTTCGCACTCTCGTCTAACATGCTGACCCGGACTCGCTCAAACATGCTGCAGTCGTTTTGGGCCAGCGACGGTCAGAGTCCAGCTGAAGCATGAGGCCAAGCTGTCGCAGCATGTACCTGTCTCATTCAACTCACTCGACGAAAGATTGTGTTGCACAGTGGTGAGATGCGCCGGCTTGAGGGCAAGACTTTGTCAGACGCGTCAGGCCCCTGTGGTCCTTATTGACCTCGAATACCATCCACACTCCCTCACCAGACAAATCTCGATAACTCGATAATGAGCACAAGTTCAGGATGTCCGGCGATCCGGGCAAGTCTGAGGGCAGCACAGATCCAGAGTACATGTTGGCCCACAGGCACTGTTGCACTCGGGCTGGAAGCACATCTGGCCTCGTCAAATTCACATATCTCAGCACCCGAACTAGTAACTAGTGGAATCATCACTTGTTCCCGCAGCCTCTCGAGTGCCTTATCCATGGCAATGCAGGCTCCAAGCATGTACCTTAAAGTCTCAACTGCCGGATGCACATATTGCCTCTTCGTGGGATAGCCCAACAGACCGGGAATCTGAGGGATGCGCTCTTGGACATTCTGCAGTTCGGCATCGAATCTATACTCTGGAACACGCTTCAGAACCAGCCAGGACCTCCACACAGAGGTGGCAGGGTGTTTGCACCCCCACTTCACTGGTCCCTACATCCAGAGCTTGGCACCTTGTCATGTTCCAGCAGTGCTCGAACAACTCTTCGTCAATCTTTTTGGCCTGCTTTGACCCCAAATGATCCCAAATGCGAAGCGAGAGCTGACATCTGAGTCCTGTGCCTGTAACAAAAGCACCGCACCGCTGTTCTGTTCTTTGCTTGCCAGCCGTGGCCAAGGATCCAAAGGGCCCTTTGTGCAAGGAGCCCTTCTCGCTCCCAAAGGACAGACACTTCAGAGCTGTCAGAGCACTCCGTCCGTGCACGAACGGACTGCTTCATGGGCGAGCCACCGCCGCGGAGGCCCAAGGCATGCGTCCCGTAATTGTCGATGCGTTGTTCTGGAACCCAATAGCTTATTTCAGATAACTAACTAAAGAAAACAACTTCAAGTACATGAAGCGAGACAAGCAAGCACAAGCAAACACAACAGCTTACCTAATATGTACCAGTGAAGACCAAGACAAGACCCAGACCAGTAAAACCCTTACATGCCACACTCGTGACAAACAATAAGATACGTACATAAAGACAACGAAAGACAAACCAAAACGTAATACAACTCCATGAGCATAGGAGGGTTGGCCAAATCTGCCGAAAGCCAGATGCCACCCTGCGATATCACAGAAACTACCATCAAAAGTTGCCAGCTGCCAGCAAATCCTTGGAAAAACCTCGTGAAAGTGAGATGGGACCCTGCAAATGTACTGCCCACACCCAAGGGATTTCACAACAATATCAAAACCTAAACTCGGAACCCTGATCCTGCAACCCCAAGGCCCCCGACCGCAAGTCTCAAGCCTTCACCAAACCCAATGACCAATAAAACCTGCCTATGCATTTTGCCCCAATGTTTATTCAACTCACCCTGCGATTCTAGACCTCGTGGTTCTCGGTCGCGACAGAAGATGCCTACCCTCTCATGGACATTAAACTTTGGCACGATGCAAGATGCAACAGCCACGAACCGGGTTTATTGATGTAATACAGCAAAGGCAGGTAAGCAAATGAAAAATAACTCTCGGGGGCATCAAAGTCTGTTGACGATACGATTCAAGTCTTCCTTTGATCGTGAAGAAGATTTTATTGTATTGTTTGAGGCTGATGTTGGCAAAATACGTCTGCACTTGAGAGGCAGGGTTGATGCAGAAGACCAGGACATGGCAGTTCCAAGCAATACCCAGAACACAAGACAGCTATAAAAGACTGCAGGCAACCATGTAAGCATTTTGTTGCACTACTGTAGCTCACCCTTGGATAAAGACCCCGGTGTTGTAAACCCTGGGCTCTGGACCTTTGCAATCGATTAGCGGCTAGTCCAAGCCAGAGATGCGACGAGTACGATCTGACTAGGTCCGAAAACTGGCCAAGAGCAGTGTGCTTTGCACTGCGGACTAACGGCGTTTCGTTCAGTTCATTTCAGTTCTCTCCCAGGCGATGCCCGTCGCCGCCGAAGGCCGAGAACTGGTCCCTGCCACGAGAACAAGTCGTCACATCAATCAGACTTGTAGTTATCTGTGGTGCAACTCAACTAGAAACAACTGCCACTCATTGCGACGAGGAATCCTCGCGCGCGAAGCAAACGTTCGAAGCCGCACTGCATGCCAAGACTTGAACAGGGCGGTCCAGGCCCCCGCCGCGGCCTGCCACCTCCTTGGCCTGAGACGCTGCCTGCAATCATCTCCGCTTTGGGGGTTGGTGCTTGCCGCCTCTGTGCTTACGAACACAAGCCTTCTGGGCGGATGCTAATTATATTCAATGAAGCACGTGCATTTGCATTGCATTGAAGCTTTGCCCTCTGCTTGCACCTCCTGGCCGGCCCCACTGCGTAAAGCGTTCCTCTCGCGTTGCCACCTGGGGCCTTTCCGGACTGCTGACTGCTACTTCCGGAGTCCGCAAGCGCAGTCTGCTCTGAGGCTGCAGGCCCGAGGAAAGAAGGCCACCAATCTGCGCCCATCACTCTGACGAAGCAGGTATCCTGCCGAAGACTTGGGACAAATTCGCCGCGATCAACTCAGGCTTTCAGCACCATGTCTAGCAGTAGTACGAGAAGAGTCCTGAGGTCCAGCCCCAGTATGCCCAGCGGAGATGGCGCTGACCTCCTTGCAAAACTGCCACCTGCAAGTGAAGTGTCTAGGAGTTTAGGGTGGAGGAATGCGGGTACCTCCACAATCGAGGCTCGAGGCATCTTGAGGCTGGTGCCCGCAATAAGCACCAAAGAGGGCAATGGATGGTGGCAGAACGGCCTCAGAGGCATAGCCAGCCAGTGACACATGCTGGCATAGCCAGCCTCTGGGGAACACGCCAGCCACGGAAGCATGTGCAACGGAATGCCCTGCCAGTAAGACATCAATGCACTGGCAAGTGCAGGCTCTCGCTGCCTCAAGAAATCTCAAAACGGCTGCCTGATAGCCTTGCATGATTTGCAGCAGCCCAAGCAACCTGCGGTGAGCGGCTGAGCCGGGCCCACTGGCCAAATCTTTTTTCTGGACGAGTTCTCAGCAAAGGCCCTGGCCCGTTGAAGCCACAGCAAATGATGTAGGTCGGGAAGAAGCGGATTCCTGCAGGCGACGGCATGTCTTCGATCAATTTCGAAAACAAAAGCCGCGCCTTCGGTTTGAACGGCATAACTACCCATCGCAGTAAGTACGCCGTCATACCTCACACAGAAGCAGACGGCGCCGTCATGAAAGAGGCCTCAACAAGTCTCGCAAGTGCTTCAATGATTCAGCCCGCAGCAGGCCGCCCACAAGGTCTCCCCGAGAAAGCTTCAGCAATGTCAGGACACCCTGAGCACAAACCTCGGTTTTGGTTTTAATAAAGAGACAGCTGGCCCCGTGCTGCAATGTGATCGTTATCGCTCATCACAGTAAGGCCAACTGCTGAAATGACGACTCCGCGATGAAAAGCCTGCAATCAAATGTGGGCTGCTTGTGAACGGGTGGCAAATTTGCTCCAGCTCGACGCGACTCAGCAATGCACGCGGGCTCGCTTGTTGGCCAACCAGCTGTCTGCAGCAACCTGATCGCAACATCTCTCTCCCCGACATGTGAGTGAAGCATTTTCGGATGACGCCTGCGGGACAGAGAAGGGGACGGCAATGGGAACCTTAGCGGATGGTGGTTGTGGCTTATCACAGGGAGTGAACTGCGGCTTCAGCTTTGAATGAAGCATGCTGGGCTTCCGGCACATGCAAGTGCTACAGAGCCTCATGTCTAGAAATCTGAACTCCCTAAACACCCTTCAGCCACACGACCTAGACCGGGCCTGTCAGAAGGCCTGCGTGAGAAGCGGCCGCTGCTGGCATCAAGGCCTCGACTTCTTTGCAGCATCCACAACCAGTCTGCAACCCTCCAACAGGGCCACTGGCACTTCTCTGAACCACGCCGAGCCACTGCAAGGCATCTCCAATCCAGCGGTCCAGGATCTAGTTCTCTGGCAAATGTTGGGCCTTGGAGAGCATTCCCTTTCTGAGAGGCGTCTACAGGGGAAAGAGACAGTAATTATCAGTAATTATGTGCAGCTGCTCAAGTTCAGATCCGAAGAATATCACGTTCCAATTCCAATGCTGCAGACCCCTTCCAAGACCGGCTGAAGACCTTTTGCTCTTTGCCAGGGCTGGGACAGGTGCTCGATTCCTGGTCCTGGCATGCAATGCCACGGCACTTCTCATCCTGTGGAATGGGTCTGAAGTCATGTTGGGAAGCGGCGCAACATGGCGCCCGCCCGCCAACAGGCAGATTTCTCGCATGCTTAGAAGCACCTGGCATCTACCTGCTGCATTTCTGACAGGATTTGATTTCGCCCCTCGTGTGCATTTCTGATGAAAGAAGAAACTCACTAACTCACAATCACAAATGTGCTTTTGCTTTTCCTGTTGGGGCATTCTAAGTGTTCAGCGTGTCCGGTCGGAGAAGTTGCGGCTTCGCCGAGGAGAGCTTGGTTTGATACTTCCGACTGCCGGATGCACAAATGCATTTGTCTGGCCACTGTGCAACAGAGCACTCGGTGCATGTGCTGCCTCACCTCATGTTCTTCTCCAGGCGGTGTCCTTCTGTGGTAAATAAGGTACGATTGTCGCGTTTCATCTTATTTTCACTGACATGCCACATCATACAATCCTTTGTGTGGTGTGCGTCAACTCGCGCTTTGATGGCCAAGCCGGCCAAGCCCTTTAGTGCGCTTTGTGCTGCCTTCGCTTCTTCGACTTGCGAGTCGCCGATTTCTTCACCTTGGTGTCACAGCTGTCCAACGGCTGACCAAACGCAGGTCATGCAGCTGAGGCCACGGACATGGAACACGGCTTGAGTTCACCTGCCATATTAGCAAACTCACAAGTGGCATCCAGCGGCTTCATTCCGCTGCTGATCACATGCCTGGGCCAGATGCACCGGCTTGCCGAAAAGGAAGGCTAGAGCATCTGGCTCGCGCAGTTTCCTGTCAGGCCAGCAATGTTGAGTACTGCCGGTCAGGGGTTTCAACTGAAGGTACAACTTCCGATGCTTGCTCAATCTCTCCAGTACCTTGGCGACTGTATTGGCCGTGCCACGCCTCAGCTCAGGCTGACTCAGGCTGACTTGTCTACTAATTCCACTACGCAGGCGAAAGATGCCGTCCAGCGGCTCAGTACAGCCATGGCGCTTCCAGTACAGGCTTTGGAACCCAGTGCTAGACTACAAAGGTAACAGCTATTGCGTGTTGCTGTGCCGGCTGGGCCTGCTGCAGCTGCACAATTACATTGCCACGGCATGGCTGCAGGAATCCATGTCATTCTCAGAGTCTGGATGTTGCGGCAGCGATTTTCCAATATGTTCCAATGCTCTGACTGGCGTTGCCTTGCCAAAACTTTCGGACTTCGGACCTGCCTTGGAGCCCTCCAGTACCAGGCGCTGGTGGATCAACCAAGCGTGCAGGATCATGAAGTAGGACTGCACCAGGATCACAAGGTTGCCCCGTGTTACACCATTACAGGCCGAAGCGCTCGGCCACGCACTATGATGGAACGAACATGAATGAACAACTCTCCAGCCCCCAGCCCCCTGAGTATCACTGAGTCGACTTGTGGAACTGTTTGTTTATGCTGCCTATGCATTGCAAGCCAAGAACTAACTGCAGTAGTTTGTCTCGCTTCACGCTCGATGCGTGTCTGGCAACCAGTACAATAGTATGTACGCACGTCCGCTTGCGGACTATCTGCCGGCATGAAAAGGAAAGTGCACACTGAGGCATGTCTAACAACTAATTGCAAGGCTGGCTGACCTGCATGTTGAAGCCCGCATCCACGCCGAAGGCGTCAAGCAGAGGTTCGTTATCCTCGGTAGAGGCAGTCCCCAACACAGAGACTCATGCCTCCAACGAAGCATGATGTTGGCAGTGTAGTAGCTGTATAGGTCAGGCACAGCCGTGTCTTCGATTGCGGCCAAGAATCAAGTCTCTCTAAGATCAGCTTGTGGTACCTAGCCACCTGCATTCAAGCTGTTTGCAGGGCGACCGGATGAAGGACCACCGCAGCAGTCCCTGATCTGACGAAGACTACAGGGTCTGCAACACTATAATGTCTGTCTTATCGAGCAACATGCGACTGTCAGCACCGAAAGAGCCGCGCACCGTCAACTTCCGCACTCGAAACGGATCGCCAATCTGGTGCGCGAGCCTGGTCAGTGGTGATTTGCAGTAGCACACTGTAATTGCTGCTGCCGAACAGCTCAAACACACCGGTCCCAGCCTTCGCGGATGCCAGAGCGGCAACTCGCCGATGGGATCACTCAGGTCAAGAACGTAGCGCTCCACCTTTCTTGAATCAAGACAAATTTTGGCGGAATTCGGCGGAATTTTGAAAGCATGGGCGCGGCTACCACAGCATGCCAAACAGGAGAGGAGTAGATCTGCAACTCATCGATGCTCGCCCAGTTTCGCTGAAGGGCCGCCACCGATTGCAAGCAAACTACCTACCCTCGGTCAGAAAGAAAGTCGGCACGTTAACTTCTTGAAGCTACCAGTTCCACTTGTGTCACCGCCTCTTCAGCTTTGAGCTCGCAGATGGGATCCTCAAGAAGTCAAGTGACATGCATCATGCAGCGTCGAACGTTGGCGCCAACAACAATGACACTGAAGCACTGGCCTGCATGATGGTCATGGACAGGGCACGTAGATGCAGAATGTCCTGAAGCAGCATTCGATAGCATTCGCCTATTCAACTGAGTATCACAACAACGAAAGCAAGTCGGCTTAGAGTCCTCTGGCATCAGCTGATTCTCGAAGTTTGCACCTGGAGTCGCCGCAAACGCCCTGAGCTGACCTCGCGTTGAAGCTGTCGGGTTCTAGTGGCTTCATGCTTCGACAAGCTTAGGCACCAACCCCCACAGCTCCGACTGGCCTGGTGCAGGACACCTTTATGCAGCAGCAACGGCAGGATAACGCAATGTATCACGGCAGCGTTGAAGGTTGCATCGGTACAATAACATGGCACCCGTGCCTGGGTTCAGTCTTCGCCGACATGAGGCGAAACTGCCAGCACCACGCGACACCTGTAACACCCAAGTAGCAGACCAGCTCAGAATCGCTCTTCACGGCACGATCCGATGATTAAAGACTGCACTGCCGACAGTTGTAGAAGACGCAAACTAGTGGATCTTGCCTGGCGTGCCGCGGCAGTCCATCTGATGGGAGCCATGGCCACTCTACACGTTCTCCATTCGCTGGGAACTGAAGACTTCCGTGGAGAAGTTGTGTAAGGGACGCATCTCGATCAAGGCAAGAGCTATGCTGGAGCTCATCGTCGACCAGAAGTCTTAAAAGGCTCAAATAAAACAGCTGCGGTTGCATTTTCTGCCCGTCCTCCCCCCCCCCACAGCCCACTAGCTGGTTGCAATTGGTTGCATGTCAAATTCATCACAAGCCTGGCACCAGCACACACTGGCACTCAGTCACAGCGTATCATCCGTCGTTTGATTTGACACCTCGATTTGTGGTCTAGCATCATGCACCAAGGGTTTGTAAGCGGCTGTGAGCCATGACCTCGGTCGCAGGGCAAAGTGGACTTCGACCCTTCGAATTCCGTAGTGCTCTTACAGGAGGTGCTATCATTCAGGCAATGCGGCATCTCCACGAACCGCACCCAACAACCCGCGGGGGCCCAACTGTATCTAGGACACTGCGTTCGCAGATGTCTCTGGGCACTCCGTCAAAGGCGGGTGCACTTTAAACATTTTGGGCGACATTCAGAACAGCAGACAGATTCTCAAGCTACACAACAGAACCCGTGAAGCCTGGCCCCAAGCACGCATGTCTACAGTAGTCATGGGCACCCGACAACTTTCCGCTGGGCTGGGCTTCAAGAGCACTACCTACTGAACCTACTGCTGATTCATTGCATGGGGTCCACGTGCATCATCAGACCTCGCGAAGAGAGAAATCCCGAACTCCCGGCCGCTGGGCGACAATGATACTTCACGTTACAGACGACTGCTGAGCCCTGCTCCTTCCCATCATCGTTGGCGAGACGGCAGCGGCATGTCGTGAAGCTGCATCAGCGGCACCTGCTGAGTCACAAAACCCTGTTCAGCTCTAAATGCTCCTGGAATCCGAACAAGTTCCCATTTCAGATTACGCTAGCAAGTGCTACTGCTTTCAACCTCCCAGCATGGAGTTTATGGAAGAAACCAGATCGAAGGTGTGAAGAAACCAGCTCGAACGTGTGCCTTTTGCAGCAGTGGCAGCCGTTTTCCGAAGAGACGAAGCAGCTGCGGCCGCGGCGGTCACAGCCATGTCGAGAGGCCCAGGCACCTCGAAAACCTTCGCAGGCTTGGCATCGATGACGCAGAAGACGAACTGCCCACAAACAGGGCAACATGGCCGCCCAGCCGGAGTCTCTTCTGGTAACACCTCCTGGAAGCCACGCCCGGTGCTGCGCACCAGATCTTCAGCACACGCCAAGCAGAGGCAAAGGTGACTGCAGGGGAAGCAGATGTGAGTCGCAAACTGGTCGCAGTTGCTGCAGCCCGTCGCAGGTGGACTTTGTTCTTGAAGCCAGCTGGCTAGTCTGCTGGCCTTGGACCAGTTCGACAGTGAGACACGACAAGCACGACATCAAGCACTGATCTTCAAAGGCATGTGTATTCGACAGCGGAAGCCTTCACTGTAGTTGTAGCGACAGCCAGAAGTGGCGCGAGATGGTTTAGCAAAGTTTAGCTTTTAGCGAGTTCGTTGGCGTCCAAATCCTGACGGCACCACAGCCCTTCTAAATTAGCCGAAGCAGCCCTTCGCTCCACTGCACTGGCCAGACGTGAAGCAGCACCTTTGCGGCGGCGCTGGCGCTGCCGACGCGCACCTTGGGGGGGGGGTAGAGTCGGGTAGAGGAGACATGAGGAGACATAGTAGATAAGACTTGACCAGGCAAACTCCTCAACTGACAAGAACGGCGAAAGCTAGATGAGCTAGCCCGCGGCCTGCGCGACCGTGACGCTCACTGGTTTCCACCTCTCCAGTGAGCAGATTGAAGCGGCGCAGGCTGGGATTCTCATCGTCACCGTTCATTGGCTCGACATCGACGATTTCGTCTTCCGATTCCTCTTCCGGCTGGTTGGAAACGTACGGAGAAAGGAAGTAGGTGCAAGCGAGGCCGGTCAGCGAGCCGAAGCAACCCAGCGCAAGGATCATAAACATCGCCCTCTCATCATCCGAGAGCTTAGACCAAAAGGGCATGTTGATCAAGTCATCCTTTACGGAAATGGTCGAGTACGGGCACACGGAAGTAAAGTTCTCTTTGTCCAGCATCTGTCCAACTTGGAACTTCACAGTGTCGTCATCTAAAAACTCATACTCTTCCAGCAGCTCCCAGGATCCAACAGTGCCACACCGTATCGTCACATCTGGGTCGCTACCTGGCGATGGCTGTGACACACAAACACAAATATCTGTGTGTATATATATATATATTTATTTATATTTATATTTATTTATATTTATAAACTTATTTATTTATTTGTTTAAGCTTATACATATATATATATATGTGTGTGTGTGTGTGTGTGTATATATGTATATACACAGACAGGCCCTGGCACATACCTCGTGCCAAAGGTTGCAAAGCTGCAGAAACCACGGCTCCAGCACCCACTAGGCACCAACCGTTGCTAAGGTTGGGATTCAGCTCACACACTGCCCTGTAAGTTTTTGGGCCACAACTAACTCAGCAAACAGGCTTCCAGCACAGCGGGCACGAAGCTAGACTAGGGGCACGTCTGCAGACAAAAGGCGGCGTGCACAAGCTAGTCGCAAGATCGAGCCAACTCGCAAGCCTCCACCACTGTCCTCGACTGATCAGTGGTGGGTGCGGGATGCACACCGATCTACAGCTTCACCTACACTTCTCTCACCAAGCTTCGACGATCAAGTGCTGGTGCATGGGCCAAGAAGGGCAGTCCGGAAAACAGCGCCTCAGAAACGGACAGCGAGAGAGAGAGAGAGAGACTGAGAGGGAGAGAGAGAGAGAGAGAGAGAGAGAGAGAGAGACAGCGAGCGAGAGCGAGAGCGAGAGGGAGAGAGACGGAGAGAGACGGAGAGAGAGAGAGAGAGAGAGACACAGAGAAAGGGAGAGAGAGAGAGAGAGGGAGAGAGAGAGAGAGAGGGTGGTCAAGGTGCGTATGACGCAACGCCAAGCCGCAGCATCAAGGATGTCCATGTCCCGTCGACACACTCCTCGCCACAACCGTGTGAGCCGCCACACTCAGAGCGGTCACAGGAGGAGGGAAGCTGATGAGAAGGCAGGGGTGACGCCCTTTCTCGCCAAGGTGCAGATTCTTCGATCAGGGCGGACGCACCTGACACAGGCCATTTCCGCACGACCAGGAGCAGGTCAATGCGTGCTTTTGCAGTGTGACCGTGCGACAACTTACTGGCAAAGACAGTCACGGCATGTCCAGGCCATGTTAGAAACAATGGCCATCAGCTGAAAAGTGGTGCCTCGGAAGCTGGCAGCGGATCTGTTGAATCCAATGGGCGGCAAAGCTGAGAAGCCTTGCCGCACAAAAAATGCAGGAGGCCCTTGACTTGAGTGTTGCGATAACCTGCGCCCAAGCCTTGCAGGACACGCGTGATGCTGACTCCAGAATCCGACAGCCCTACAAACAACCCAAAACATCTCCAAACCTCTCTTGGATGTCGCCCTGTACGCACTTGACAAAGTCCCACATTCGCATCCGTCCTCTCGCACAGGTTGCCAGCAATTGCGTTCCATGGGGAACGCTACGGTTCCGCTGCGACGCCAGGGCTCCAGGTATCAAAACCTCAGGCGTGCACTGGGCCGTATCGGATACCTTGACAAAAGCGCTCCCGGCTCTCGACATGCTTAGCCGACTTACTCTAGAAGAAGTCTTCGGGTGCCGAAGACGTCAGATTAACATGCGTACCCAGGCTGCCGTTGAGATTTCCTGAAATAGCATGATACATCCTTTGTCAAGTCACAGAATACTCCGGCCCTGGGACGAAGGCCTCGCGGGGAGCGAAAGCAGACCGTGCAGACACAGCATGGTGTGTCGAAGTCAACCAACTCGCAAGCCATCACGGGCAGGAATCCTCGCTCCAAAATGCCTAACTAAGCACGAACTTAATGCTGACCCTTACTCAACTCAGGCCATGCCAGAAACACCAGACCACGACTGCACGGAACAGGCGCTGCAAAGCTGAAGCCCCGAGCAAAAGCCTCACAGTCGCTGAAGCAGCGCAGATCAGAGGGAATCCAGCGGCCATTCGCACAGGTGACCTACACAAGCCAAAGTTGCACGTTGAAGACTTCACAGAACCAACGAAGCCAGATAGACTGGTGGTCTCCGGATCCTTTGTAACACTGCTGACCGTCTCTCGCATTTTTCGCCAAGCCGCAGCACCACGTTTCATCGCTCGCTCACTATCTTCGCCTTCCCCATGTTCCAGCTTGCCTCAAGATCCAGTAATAGCTTATGCACTTTTTCAATCGGTTGCAAGTTCGTGGCACTTTTGCCATGTACCCGTCTTCACCGCCTCGCCATGCACACGTTACGTTGTGCTATACAGCCCCTTTACGCCCTCCGAGGCTTCTTGATTTGAGTTAACGCCTCTTTACAACTCTTTGCGCTGGTCCTGCACCTTTGCTCAGCTTGTGGCATGCTCTGAAAATGCTCCTCTTCATGGGACTCTCCTATAGCTTACTGCCTGTAAAGTTTAAGCTTCTTGAGGCGCCTCAATTCTGATACAAGGAGGGGTCTGGTCTGCACCTTAGGGTTGGGCCCCTGCTTTTCATGCCAATTGATTCCCATGGCCTAACCTCTTTGGGAAATGAATGTCGGTGGCCTGAGGTCCCGCGGGAGTCCCAACAAGTTGGACCAGGTGGGTTCATGTTGGAGGAGATGGCTGGGGGTCTGAACCTCCTATACAATGCCCCAGGAACCCAGGGGACTTTTGGTGGATTTGGTGTCACGGAAATCAAAATGTTTGGGTCTTAGCTCAGGATTCTTGAAGAATCGTTATGTAGAGCTCTGCAAACTTTCGAAAGGAAGACTCTACTGTCCTGACAACTACTACAGCCGCATGCGGTCTGAAATGAATTCCGGTGGGCCTGACCCTCCGAAGGCCTCCCAAGCCCTACAAATCGCCGGCCAACATGCGCCCGGCGATCCTGAAATAAATTCCAGGCGACTTGACCCTACAAGAGCTCAGAATGGAAACCCAGCCAAGATAAAACTTTCAGCCTAGCCCCTGGATTTCATCTCGGCACCCCCGACCCCTATAATTCTGTCAATTAAAACGCGAACGGTTCTCAGATGCTTTGTTTTGAGGCTTACCGGCCTTTCAAGCATTGTTAGCAGGAGGTTTAAGCGGCTTAAGTTTAAGGGAACTTGTGGGATGACGATCCGTGACCAGCACTAGAACCCTCGAAGACGCTCAACACGAACCGAGGCAATGAAACATCCCCTCTGCTGAAAGCAGTGCCCTTCTTCTGCATACCTGTTTCGGATAAGTGAATAAGGCTGTCCCTGCCGGCTGCAATCCTGTGTAATTGGCCTTCCGCAGCCAAGCTACAACCAATGATCACCTTGCTTCCTGACAGACACACACACACACACGCACACACACCCACCCACCCACATTTTGCTGCTACAGGAAAGACAGGAGAGCTTTCACATGACCCAACAGTTTCGCAAACTTCAATTGATGCCGGAGTGTCCGTGTGGGGCGTCTGCAGCCGTCGATGGAGCAGACGGCTCCAAAGACTCACCATTCGGTTGAGACATGTCCCGAATCACCCGGAAGCCTGGGTGACCGCACGAGGACTCACGAATCGATTCGCACGATGGGGCTGGACGTCATCATGAAAGCCCAAGACAAGCTGCAGCAAAGGAGGGTAACAGTCTGAGCACACTAACCGCATTACCCGTCGCAGGTTTATGCCCCAACTCAGATTCGAGAAAATGCTGGTAAGGAGTGAGGAACTAGCTGGCCAACTTCATGGATGTTTGCTTGCATTCGGGACAGGCAGCTGCGACATGTCGCTGGGGACGCATCCGAAGGGAGACGATACTGCCAAGCTCTAAGCGCAGTGAGACATTCACAAAAGTCAGCTGCTTACGGCCACCCATGACCCTGGACTTCGAAACGTCGGCATCGGTGTGGTACAAGTCAATAACTTAGACTTTGAAGCTGGGCCTGGATTGGTTGATCGTGGAATCGGCTAGGGCCGATTTCGGAGAGGGCCCATGCCGTACCGGGGTATGCTGTGGAGCTTGACAAGCATGCAACTAGATATGTGCAGCGCAACCAGCAGTAGAACATAGTAGAACTCAAAGTTCAGGGTATGTGGGGGGTCATGTGTCAGAATTGCATTTGGGAGGTTAACACCCAAGCCTTCACAACACAACACACGAACAAGGCAAATACCATATTTGCCCTTCGCAAAGGCGGAGATAAAGTGTCATGGAGTCTCGTCAATTTGAACTGCTGTCTGCAGTCCGTGCAACGCGATTGCTCCAGAATTGTGGCATTGAACGGCTTGCAATCCTCAGTACTGCGATGCTTGTGGCACGTCCGAAGTTGCAGGCTTCAACGGTCTATGGCAAGACTAAGCAGCCACGTCACCTTTGCACAGTACAAGGACAAGGGACTCCACTGTCCATCATTGCCTCGGCATTGTCTGAAGCACATTTCTTGTCCACCACCGTGTTTAGCATGCACCGTGACACAAACATGTGCTTTGCATGCCTCCTATTATGCAATTCGCAAAATGATCCGGTACCAAGATGCACTCGACCCGCTCCACAGCCCCCGGGACGCGACCGTAGCCGTCCACACAGCGGATGCCAATATATGTACCTTGATTGTCTGGCGAAGAGGTGTGTCAATGGCTTGGCTTCTCTTGTACTCGCACGTCTAACATTAAACCTGTCACACACACACACACACACACATTTTGCAGGCTGGTGTCTGTGCGGCACCCCCGTGATGTTGCTCTGCATGCGCCGGACATCATCCTTTGGAGCAATGCTTCTTCAGAGTCTGTTTTTCTGTTGCTACACACTCCATATTCGGCCTGCACCTCCGGTTTGCTCTTGTACGCTCTGGGACCAGACAGTCGACATGTCTCTGGCTGGGGGTCGCAACAGGCAGCACTAGTTAAAGTTGACAATCCCGCCTTGGTGCACACTTGCCTGCTTGCGTTTTCCCCGCACTCTACCTGCTGAGAGTACGACCAGCGCAAAGCTGCTCAATGTCTCCGTGTCCTGGGGCAATGCACAGTATTACACCGTATTTCATCTCATCTTGACTATGTGTCATGGAAGCTTCAGGTATGATGGCATGTGCACAGGCAAGTTTGCATAATCGCTGCAGGTGCCTTTCAGGTCTGATGACGGTGAACATGTGCACGACTGCTGGCCTCCAAGATCGATTCTGCAACGTACTGGGCATCTGCTTCACCTTCCGACAGTTTGTGGTTTGTGACCCCTTAGAGCGCTCCAATGCTCTCGGCTGAGGCAGGAACCGACTACCTCGTAGCCCTCGGACAGCTTGTAGCGAGGGCAGTCTGCTTTGCAGTCCTGGATCTTGCAGAAAAGCCGAAGTAGGGTGCTACTCTGCTTTGCGAACTGTTCTGACGAATTATTTGATCACTGTCACTGGAACAACAGCCCAGAAGCTGGAATGTCTTCGAGTCCGCTCCAGCTGCCTTCTGCCTGCGCATGCCAAGTTCGGCAAACGTAGTAGCGGTTGGCCGTTTTGCCATTGGCCGGCCCCGGGGACAAGGACTCGAGGGGTCCGGGTTGCCGCTACAATGTGACCGTCGCTCAGTGCTAAGGCTCTGGCACATTGTAGTTGCACTGGATGCTGTGGTTGGCCCGATGACGCGTATCCTGTGGCAAATGGCAAGAGCTTTGCACCACGCGGTTGACAACTGCCGTGCTTGTAAGGGCAGCATCAAATGCACAGCTACAGAGTCAGCATCGGTGGTTCAAAGTGACGTGCAAAGCTCTCCTGCCGCGCAGCTGATGTGCCACCTTATTTTGCAAGCAATTCTGCAAAGTGGCAAGGAGAAGTCACCCAATGATGAACAGGAAACGACACACGAGCATGCATTCATTCAAGGCCATCACACTGAACCCTTCTGGGCAATGTTGTCACCCTCGCTGCTGCCATTGACCGCCTGAATACAGCAATTAGTCAATGAGTCGATAGCTGACTTGTGTCTGGACTGCGCTGTGCCATCCACGATGCAGGAAGCAGACGGCGCAAGAGAGCGGGACTTGTCAAGACTGGCCCTACGGCCAAGATAGCCAGGGGATGATAGGGGATATAGGGGATTAGTGCAAATCGCGAACACTTCGAGCTGATCTCCTGCCGCTGCAGAACCGGCGAACCCAAGCCCTGAAAGGCGACCGAAAGCCGTCATCAGCCAAGAACCAGGGCCGACTGTGGCCCGTGCGTATGCACTGGTGAGCTCTGGAGTCACGCAATCTCCGGTGCACACCAACCAAGGAGTGGTCCATGCCCCGTCCTGCCGAAGCAATTCCCTGCAAGTAGGGCGCCGTACGACGCCCTTCTACCGGACTCTGTTCTTATCTATGCGCAAGAGGTTGGCTAGGAGTTGATCTTGCCTGGCAGATGACTGATGCGGAAGATGGTGCTTCCACAGAGTCCATATCGTCACTCTCGCCTCAGCAAAGGCTTCCCTGAAGGAAGGTGTGGAGATGTGTGGAGTGTGCAGTCACCACAAGACCACAAGGCCCTCACTACGCTTGCACGTGATCTGCCGTGTAGATCCATGCTGAAATCCAGTACCTAAGTCCAACGAAAGAGGCTCTCAGACAAGTTCAGTGTTGCATGACATTCTGCAGTTCTGCTGGGACCCCGTGCCATGGACTTCATACCTGCGAAGCAAGCTAATTCAGCATTCGCTCGCAGCACACTTCACAGACGAGTTGCACACATCATGGTTTGGAGCATTTGCCACAAAACTTATTCGATGGTCCAGTCACTGCAACTTCCCTCATGTCTCGGTCTGATTTGCAGCAGAAGCAGCTTCCAGGATGCTGCCACGAAGGCAGGGCAGCTGCGACCACAAGACACCGCCAGTGGAGACCACTGGCCATCCTCTGCAGTGGTTCCAATGAGTTCCAATGGCTCTACTCATGCCCTGTCCGGCGTTGCCGCTCCTGGCACTCGGACTCGACAAGCCGCACATCATCGACGGTTCCATAGCCCGCCGCGCAGGTGACGTAGACTTTATTGGCCTGGGCTGGGTCATGCGACGAGGTGGAGCTTGAACAAGATAGACAAGACGGTACTTCTGGACTTCCGCTTCCACTTCTCAGCGTACACAAAACCTCGAGTTGTTTGTCTCAAGTCCTGTGAAGTCCCGCACATAGACATAAACATCTTGAGCTTCTGTTCGGATGAGGGACTGATGAGGTGTCGCAGTCCCTCAGAAGAAGGACCCTCCCTTTGTTCTGGGCTCAGAAAGGAATCAGGAATCCAGTCAAGACCGTAGAAACACGCCCCATCGTGTGCTGTATCTTGCACGGGATTCCCTTACTCTCTGTCTCTCTCTCCGTCTGTCCGTCCATCCGTCCGTCCGTCGGTCTATCGGTCTGTCGGTCTGTCTGCCTGTTTGCCTGCCTGCCTGCCTGTTGCTTGCTTGCTTGCGAAGGGGTATGGGTGCGTGCACCCCGGCCCGAAGGCCAACCCCCCCACGGCTCGCAACTGTCCAATGTCTTCGCGGCCCCTCTCGGGGTGGGTTGACTGGCACGTTCCCTCGAGTAACCCTGTGTACCACGTCCCCCCAACCGAACCTGCCAACGACCATTACCATCTGAACCCCAGCAGGTGTTACTCGAGTCATCCGTGGTCTCAGTTACACAGGCTCTGGCTACCACACGAGTGCAATCAACTTCACGATAGCACACTGACTTCAACTGCACGGAAACACACCGACAAGCCGCTAGCTCTGCTTTATACGCCAGTCCTGTGGATTACAAGTCGTGGGGTCCTGGTTTTCACGCCCCGCAGGGCCGTGTTACAACAGTACAGCAGTGCAACACTTAGCATGCTTCCCTGGACCCCACATGGCTCCACTGGGGCTCCACCCCCGCGGCCTCGGTGAAACTTCCGTACGCGGTTTCATCTACATCCCCGCCTTACCTGCCTCCCCACCTCATCCCGAACTGAACATTGCGCAACTGCACTGCCTGACCTTCCCACCCCCCCCTGAAGCCTGACTTGGTCGCCCCCCCCCTCGGAGCTCTGCAGGGTAAGCGCACAACGCCTACGCTCGAGTTCTCACAACTACCTCATCGCCTCAACTAGGTTGTGCTCTGCTCCTGTGGAGGGTTGCTTCCCCTTGCTCCCCGACTGCCGTGCATGACTACCTGAGTACCATGCACGGGACCCCCTAGAACACTGCGGCCTAATCATGATTGTATGCCTGCCTGTCTCTGTCTGTCTTTCTTCTCACCGCATCCTGCCGTTCTGGCAACCGGAACTAAAGTTCTAAAGAGGTTTGCAGCTGCAAATGTCAGTCAAGATTCGTGGTCCATCTCCTGCTTTCCTCCCGACACGACGTACTGAGGGCCCATGTGGAAGGGAGGGCAGCCTGATATGGTCTGCGATGAAAATCGATATCTTGGCGCATGTGGGAACGAGCTCTTATTGCACTTCAGCCTCACAATGAAAACTGATTAGTCACTCATCCTGCGGCCAAGCAACTCTGGCATGCTCGCTCCCCACACGATCGCCTCGACATATCGGGCAATGAACCGATTTTGCCCCAGACTGCAGAAAAGTCCGACAGCAACAGAAGAAAGCACAATGCCAGTTCTGCTGATCTTTGGCCCTTGCAGACAGCGGCTCTCATGCCAACGTACAAGACGAGGACAGGAGCAACAGAGAACAGATTTGCGGCCCATGGTGCTGCTGCGCCGGCCGCGACGCCGCGTCACAGTGCAAGTCTTCCACTACCCTCCTCGGAAAAGCAAACAGCCCCATAAGAAAACAGCTTCTTGTTGCAGGAGGCCCGACTTCCCGAAAAGCTCGGTCTTCCCGCACCTCTTCTAAGGGAACACGCCCAAAACCAATTTCGGTTATCCTCCAACTAAAGTGTCGCAAGATGATACGCGCAATCTGGCAAAACACACATAAAGAGACTTGCGTCTTCTCCATCTCGAAGTCGGTCCAAGAGCACCAAACATCTCGCGACTGGACACCGCCACCACACTTCTGGCCTTGCTGCCGTGTTGGGTGAATGGATGTGAATGGCATGCTGCTTGTAGTTTGGGGAGGGTGCGCCTATCTTTGCTCGATTGTTCTCTCATGCACACCGAATGCATTTGGTATGTGTGCACCAGCTGTGGACAGGCTAGTGAAGAGTGGATGGACTTCAGAAGGCGGGGTTTTACGATCCCCACCTGCCTAGTATGGCAGTCAGTTTCACCTGAATTTGAGTTCCAGAGACGCGTCGTTGCCGACACGATGCCTGACGAAGAGAAAGGAGGGGAGAGTTGAAATTGCAAAGCCATTCTTGCCCATGAGGCCTGAAGAAGCAACTGAGTAACCGAGCCTATCGATGGCTCATAGACTGTGGAATCGATGGCATCGATGGCGTCACATCTATGCTCACAGGGGTTTCCCGATTCCCACTAATTAAGCTTATTTCATTGGGCTTGCATCAGAAAGGCCCAAAAAACTCGATGTTGCGGTGCCACCACTGACAAGTCCCTGCACCGCTGTCGACCGAGTCCTCTACGTGCAAGCTGCAGAATGCCACAGCACATTAAGGGCGCCACTGCACGGGGCCCATGCATCACCTTGGCTCTTTCACAGCTGATGGCCTTGATCATTCGACTGTGGAATGATGCATGGGCGGTTACATTTGCCGCCAGCTGAGTGGAGTTTGTATGATGCGGAAGGTTCCGAGGCATCCCGATATGGCATCATGTCACCACGTAGCTCGTCATCATCTTTATCAGCATCGTGATCGTTACCGGCATCATCGGGTCGAGTGGGGAAGTTGTCAGGTTGGATTGCGCAGGGCTTGGGCGGGTCGACGTGACACAGCACATGCATGTACTCGCTCGGCGCGAACATCTTGAGCGCATGTGCTCTGCCGTGGGAGATGGTGATGATTGTCGGCCTGGGGGGGAAGAGAGAATGGTGGCGGGCCGAGGGCGGGTTCTCTCTCTTCCCAGTGCATGGTGGACTTTCCAAAGCAGAGGAGGCAGAACCGCAACCTGCAAGCGATTGTGCCGAAGACTTCATGAAACAAAGGATTAGGCTGTGTGAGGAATGCAGATGCCGACCGCCAACTACACGTGTACACTACTATGACGAATGGGGTGGCAGGCCTGTCAGACGGCAAGCTGGACCTGCTAGATCATCCCGACGATTTGCGCATCATCGAGATGGTTGCTACTGAGGTGCTGATATCCCACGCGAAGCTTCCGAGTATTTGCAAGGAGAAAAACTGCATCAAAGTGCCAAAGCCTGTTGTCCACGAGACCTGACAGGTTCGAGCGAACACCGCGCAGGCGAGTCCTCTGTGTCTTCTTCTGCTGCTCGTGCTACGCCAGCCTGGTTGCGAGCTGCTGCAGAGCGTGAGATGTGGATCAGATGGTCCAGAGCGGCGGTTCCGCTCGAGTCGCCTTACTCAGTCACGTCGATACTTGACGTCAGGCCACTGACAGCCGAGTACAAAGGTCGTTCGTCCATGCGATTCCGTCCAATCGTTCGAGCCTCTTGGGCGCAGGCCCAAACCGTCCGACACCAGCAGCTCTGCTCGCAAAGATGCTGTATTGCAGCACTCGACTTTTCCAATGCCTGCAGCGGCGGCTGAAAGCTGGGCTGTCGAAGGGTCTGTTATTAGTTCGCGGTCTGGCTCGTAGGCCTGATGTGCGGTCGAACGTTTCTTCTATTCTAGCTTGACAAGGCCCACCGAAAACTCCGATACCCAATCTGAGGCATGCACTCATCTTGGAAGTAGCGAGGCCGGCAGCCTGTAGCTAGAGCTATGTGTCAGCGAAGCTCCAGGAAGAAGTCCTCTCGGTGGTTCAGGCTTGGACGTCAGCCAGCTGCTCATGGCAGTCGCGTTCGAAGGCTGGCTCCTGCTGGGGAGAAACGGAACGACGGAACACCAAACCTCTCTGGCACACAAGGGTCTTCAAATATCTTCAAACAGTTCTTCGTAACCGCAGAAGTGTCGTAACACTCAGACTCCTGAAGGCCAGGTACCTCGGCAGGCACTGGCAAAAAAAATCACTTGGATGTTTATCTGCAATCATTTGTTTGTCCTTCCGTGGCATTGTGTGTTGCAAAGCCATGTTGGCCTTCAAGGGCTGCATTCTCTTTCGTTCTGTCTGTCTTTTCAAACGCTGCCAGTGGAAGGATGTAATGTAATGTATGCTCTCCGTCAAGTCCAGCTTTCCCACATGTCCCCGCCCGCAGTCCGGGCGCGATGTCCATCAAGCAAGAACATTTGCACCTCCACGCTCGCTCGCTGCGAAATGTAGCCGCTACCCCGATACATAACTGAACCAGTTCCGCTTTTTCCCCTGGATGTCCACACAAGGTACGAACTGGCACGATTGGCAGAAAAGTCAGCACACTACCACACGCTCCAGAGGCTTCTCCTGCATTTTCTCGAGACGGCTTGGAATAGGTGGGATTTGGAAGCTGCAGTTGAATTGTACGAACTGTGCCGAATTCCAGCCCTTTCTCCGTTGACTGCATCGGCTACAGGCTCTTCAACCGGCTGTGCGACTGACAGTGTGACAAACCAGCAACCGAGTTCTCTGCTGGATGGTCCAGGTTGAACTCAGCAGTTGCCTTCAGCACCTTGTTTGCATCTGATCATGCTGGCAAAGGATACTGAACCGGTTTCCTCCTGCTCCTGCCCTGCATTCGACCTTCTGCACATCGGCCGAAAACAAAAACGTTGTCAGACCAAAGCTCTCTCCGAATGTCCTGCAAATTTATTCCACACTCATTCGCAGTCCTCTCTTAGGCTGGTCATGGCCATAGATTTCGTCTGGAAGACTCGGCGGCCGCAGCCATTGCACCTTTGCTGCAGAGAACTTGCATGGCGACCAGCGAATCTGGACAAGTAGCCAGTTGAAGTTTTAGCTGAACCTTGGAACTTGACGCAAAAGCAGACAGATGCCCTGAACTCTGAAAGTACCCTGCGGGTTTCAACGTTTACCAACGTTTTCTACTATACATTACCTGAGCCTACCAAGAAGCTCTTCTTGCGCATCTGGCCGTGCACGCAGGCACAGTGAGTCTGCAACAACCTGCCGAAGCACGTCAGGTTTGTGGACATACGAATGGATTCCCCAAGACTGAGACACTGCCATAGTGGCCTCGCGGCGGGAAGTCTCGTGCGCATTGGCCCGGACGCAGAAAACTGAACGTTCCCTGTGTCTCGCCTTTGGCATGTTGTGCACATCTCGATTGCGGTGCAGGCTTCTTCGCAGTGAAGGCACACGCCTGATGACTGCCTCTCAGCCCGTCGCGCCGTAGCAGTCTCCGTAGTGGACCGTATGGCACGGACCCCATTCCCCGACCTGTCTGTGCCACATCTTTCGACCAATCGAGGGGCACTGAGACCTGGTAACAGCGTCGTAACCTAACACCGTGTCTCCGATCCAGAAAATCGCGCGCCGGCCTCCCACCGCAGCTCTTCAGATGGCGGGCAAGAGCAGAGCTCAGCCATTTCCTGCGAAGCCATCATTGACACCTGCCGAAGCAGCACGATACTTCTCTAAAGGCTCAGTCCCATGCTCACGTGCGCAGGTGTAGGTTCTACGGTATCTTGGTACTTGCAGCGTTGCCGCTACTGTATTCATGACGACGCAGCAACATGGAGGAGATACATGGAGAACAGCAGATGGAGAACAGCAGCCCGTAAACAACGGGTAATCTGAGTGCGAGCACTTTGTGGCTTGGATCTGATGCATTGACTGCATCGACCAGCTGGTTCAGCCAAAGCCTCGTGGAACTAGCCATCCATTCACAAGATAAGCCGGAGGATAAGCTTTGCTCTTTCCTTGCTGAGCCAACCGCTGGGATGTGGATTTCTGCCACACGCAACCCGAGGGCATGTCCATGCGAAGCCTTAATTTGAGCAACAGTTGTGGATACTCAAGCCCAGCTTTAATTCAGGAGGTGAACCGCAAGTTCTGATACCATCCTTTTGACACAGATTTTTCCTTTGCGCGCAGACCCCATGTGCCCTCGGCAGCCAATTGGCAGCTCGCCTCTGGCGGGCCCTCGTGGCCTCGTGGTGCCCTGCGTTGTTGCTCTGCACCGCTGCGCTCCGCACCGCTCTGATGCCTGGTGAGTGCCTCCGCGCGCACCCCTGCGCGCCTCTGCACCGTCTACAGCATGCGCCTGAGTCCCAGAAGATGTCTCCAGGCTCGCAAAATTGGATGGAAAAGCCCGGCCACAAGGGAAGGGCCGAAGTCCGAATTCCATGCAAACCTCTGGCTCATTGCGGGTCCACTTCGCGGTCCACGCGCTTCTAAGCCCTAAGCCTTGACTCGCATGAAAGGGAATGGCATCAAGATGCCTCGTCGAATTGCTTTTCTGACGTCCCTGCTGAAGCTTCGAGCCGGCCCTTGATCTGCTCTGCCAGGGCTTTGCCCCACCACTCGTAGCCGAAGGCACTCGGGTGCATCAGGTCTTTGGAGAAGAAGGCCTTCCACGGAACCCCCAACAAGAAAAGATGCGAGTAGTTTGCGCACGGAGGGGCAGAGGCAGCAGGGGCAGCTTGACAGCACCTCAGCTGCGATGTCACTGGGCGGATCCGGGAAGGGCAGCACCTGCAGAACCCCAAACCCGAAAGGCTTCCGCTCACGAAGTTTGCCCGCCGAAGCTGCCTGTGCGCCGCGACACCAAGCGATGGCCTCTCGGTCCCAGAGGCGAGTCGTCAAACTGAACAGCATTGCAGCACAAGGCACAAGAGCCAAAGATGAGGCAAGTGGAGTGCACGAGCATCGAGTCCTTGCGCTTCTCGCGCTCCCATAGCAAGCAAAGAGGTGTCAGGAAGAGCTTCAGCGGATAAACCTGGAGCCTCCCAAGGCAAGCAGAGCAGGCAGAGCAGGCAGAGGAGCGGGAGCGCTGTCGGCCCAGGCTGGGCTCCGGACATGGGAGCATCGCAGACAGCCACGGCGGGCAGGAAGATGCCCTCGACCTTGAGATCACGCCAGTCGCACGTGGAGGCTGATACTTGTAGGGATAGTATGGCATGGCTGTGTGGAGTTCAGGCTCAGGGCATTCTGCAAGCGGCTGAAGGCATCTTGCACGAGCCGGCGTAGGCGCAGCCGATAGCCGAGCCTGGTCTCTGGCTGTGAACTTGCACGTCCCGACCGGTAACAACGTGACACCCTCCCGATGTCACCTGAGCCGGCGCAAGTCGTTGACACCAACCACGAGGATGACGAAAACGGCCCCATCGGCAGCCTCCGCCAGCCCACGGAGCCTGTGGGATCGGATGAGTCATAGGTCGCCACCTCCGGCACCCCCAGCACCTGCAGGCCTGGGAAGCCCCTCGTGGCTGAGGCGCTCGACATCTGCACCGGTGATGCCCACAGAGGCCTTGCCCGTATGCGTCGACAAGTGGGAAGAAGTCCCAACACCAACAGACGCGCACACACACACAGAGAAGATGACAAAGCATTCGCTCCACTTACACGGCTCGGGCACGGGCCCAGCTCACCTGACGGGAGAACACTATACAGCACCCGGATGGAGCCTGGACGGACACTCTTGGCCCATTGGCCTCCCCCAGATGTTGGGCCAAATGTGCCGCGACGTTCCTCTCCCAACAAGCCGAAGCAAAGACCTGATGCTATCGCTACTCAAACTCTCAAAGCCGTCCTGGGCAGCGCAGCAGGCACTGGCTCCCCGCTGGCCTTGTCAGCCCCATGCTCCACACTCCAGACCCACCACGTTCACAGCAAAAGGCAGAGAGGCAGAGGTGGCCTGGCCGCCCACACCGCTAACAAGTGAGTCCCCGAGGAAAAGCAGGAGGAGCGGCCTGACAGAAACCCGAGGCTGCGAACTTCCACGATGCCACGTACTTCAATCATTCATCCAGGAGCTCAGCGACACAGCCCTCTTCGAACAGAGCGAAAGGGTTCATTCTTTTGACCACACGGACGCAGCAATGAGCTTCAGCAACTCTACTTTCCCACAGCCTGCTGCAGGTGCTGCGGGCATCGCCTGCAAGGAAGGAACTGTGTATGGTCTTGTCCAGACAACCTTTGGGAAAAAGCTTCCAAGGTTGTTCTTTTGTCTGTGGGCGTGACACCTTGTAGCACGCACTTTTCGGTCGCTCCTTTTCTATGCATCCTCAGCGCCTCACCGGGCGCTTTGCGGCCGGAGAGACGGGCTGGTGCACCGCCGCACCCTCTGTTTAAAAAGACGCGGACTTCTAAAGCTCTCTGCCTACTATCTGCTACCGTGCTCAGACCTGCACGTTCAAAAACATTCGTAGGTCCTCGCAGGCATGCCAGACAAGTTTGGAGATGAGTTGACAAAGGCGGCGGAAAAGACTGGCATCCTTCTTGGTCCTTGACGCCAAGGAAGGCTTTGCATACATCGTAGAGGAAGAACTGGCCACTGATGATGCAGGCCGCCCAGACGCTACGCGAGCCCAAACCAGCAAAGAAGCCTCAGCTCGGGGGCAACGCGGGGAGCGCTCGAGCAGTCCGAGTCCACGGGGCCTTGAAGTCCCTGCTCCTCCCAGATCTCCTTCCCGGTGTCGAAGAAGAAGGCTCGGCCCGCAGTCCTGAAAGGCTGCCAACTGTCCTACGGCCCTACGGCCCTACGGCTCTCCGAAGAAGGGAGGAAGAGGAAGCGCTTGTCTCCAGGCGGGACAAGGAGCGTCTGATTCATCCTCGTGAGGATGGTGTCGGCAGGCTGGGACACGACGGAGGCTGTGAGGCCGGCGACGGCTCCGGACAGCAGCGAAACGAGGAGTTGTGTCTCAGTCTGGTTCGCCAGGAAGGGAAACAAGTCGAAGACGAAGTCTGCAAAGTAGTCGAACACAAGGAACTTCATCATGCCGAAAAGGACCTGCCTTATGAGCAGTGTTTGGAACCCGTCGAAAAGGGTACCAAGACCACCTGCTTCTGCTGAAATGACATCCAAGACCTGCAGGGGGTCCCGCACTCTGATCTCTAGAGTCTTCTAGAGTTGCTTAAAAGGCAAAAGGCAGAAGTACACACGGCAGCGCCTCTGGAAGGCTGCGGCGCTCCTCGCCGCAGACCTGGCGGATGCGGCAGGCCTCGGCGGGGCAGACGCCGATGCAGGCGAAGATGGTGGCCGTTGCTCCGGCCAGAAGCACTAAGAAGACCTTCAAATCCTCGATGGGGCACAAGGAGACATAGAGGCGCTTGAAAAACTCGTAGCCGGGGTACACGGTCACGCCGTACCATAAATAGCCCAATACAGTGGGCTCCCACCCAGCCAACAGAGCACCAGCACCTTCCGTCCTTTGGATCCGCCATGCGAAGGCTAAAAGACCTTCCTCTTCCTCTGACGCTTCCGAAACCTTTGCCGACTTGGCCGCCTGAAGCCGGGTCTTCACCACGTCCAGGGGGATAACAAGAGAGTGGGTCACCGAGCAACCCAACGCCCCTGACAAGGCGAAGAGCCTGTAGTCGTTTAGGGTCAGTGGCCGCTCCTTGCCAACATGCAAACAACCAAATCTTGAAATACCTTGTGCTCTGAATCTTCACTTATCGCTACTGGTCTTCGCCCTGCTCCTTGACCACGACTTCGGCACCGCGCACGCCAAAGACGCTCAGCGCAGCGCCACGGTCGATCTCATCGAAAGCCTCTTTCAAACACAAGTTGTGGCAATGCCGGCAACCCTTCAAACCGTGACGTTTTTCGAAACCGTCACTACTATCGAGTGCCGGGCACTGCGATAGGGCTGCGCCGCCTGCAAGCCAGGAATTACCCAGCGGTTTCGGCCGCCGTCCCAGACCTTCCAGGTGCCAAGTGACACGGCGCACCAAAGCCATCAACAAACCATAAGAACCAGAGACGGCAGCCCTGTCGCACCGGGTACTGCGTGTCCGGGAGGAGGCGCGAAGGGTCCATGGCCAAGTAGTCAGGCAGAGCAGGTGAGAAGACGGCCTGGAAACAGCTGTGCAATGCTGTAACCACTACGTCCTACGTGACATGCGAGTGCGGGTGGTGCAACATGGCCTGGAGCCGGGTATCCAGACCCAGGGAAGCCAGCAGCTCACTGAGGAGCTCTAAGGGCTGGTCTTCGAGTAGGCAGAAGGCCAGAGCCAGTTGCCGCCGCCGCTCCGGTGTGCTGCCGTACCTCGCAAAATCACGCGCCCAAGCTCATCTCACTCAACCGTGCAAGTCGCGCCTGTCCACCAAACGTTTCAGAAGTCCTCAAACAGAGGAGCGATCACGGAAGAGGGGAGAGGAGAGAGAGAGAGAGAGAGCGAGAGAGAGAGAGAGAGAGATCGACAGCGAGATAAGTAGAAGACAGACAAACGTGCAGTAGGCGCTGAGTACATGGCCAGACTTCCGCCTACCTCGTCAGAAGCAGCAAAGCAGATTGCGACTTTCACCGGTCCCATTCTAGTCAGCCTTCTTCCTGGTAGCGGCGCAGGCCCACTTCCACAGAGGCCGTGAAATCTGCAGAGGAGAACATGTCAGGTATCGCATGCGAATCGAAGGGCTGCCACCTCCTGCTGGCATCCTACGGCATGTTGCAGTTCCTTTAAACTCTGCCGAGTTCATTGTTCCACCTTTGCGGCTCCAGAGAACCGGAACACCCAGACAAATGCCGCGGCAGTCGTCAACGCGACTCAACCCGCTTGAAGGCACGACTAGTAACCGTCATGCCACCAAAACACTCCTCAAACTGCCAACTTCAGAATCAGACCCAACGAGCAGCGCCTGCAAAGACATCTCGCAGCTTGGCTGCACGCTTCGTTTTTCGGAGGCTCTCCGCCGCTGATGGATCCAAGGTGGCCTCCACGGCTGGCACGACCTCGTCCTTCCGAGAAACATGGCACAGTAAAGTTCAGCAAAGCTCTGGCAATCACTGGCTCCTTCCACCAGGTAGCTGAAGCCTGGCGAGATGCTGTGGCCCTCTGCTCTCCTCCTTGTGAAATTGCTCTCCGTGAACCCATGTCCTCGTCGTAGTTCAGAAGGATGCGAGCTAAGTAGACAATGAAGTCCACGCTCCATTCCGCGTCTGCCTCACGAGTTCAGTGCAGAACTAGGCATCCTCGCCTACAACCATCGATGACTATTACTTCCCTCTTCGTCTCAAGAGGTCTCGGAGGCGATGCACCTCAATGCGCTCAAAGATCTCAGCCTTGCGGCAAAGCCACACAAGTGCCAAGTCTGTTTCACTATGCCATGCGCTGCTGCTCACCTGTTGCGGAGCTTCGTCCATTGGCAGCCAGGACAGCCTTACTGTATGAACTCCATCGAGTTCCCATGAGCTGTTTGCTGGCGAGGCACGACTTGCCATGTGCTGCCTGGGCTGGACGGCTGGACTCTGGCCGGCCGATGCAAGGGAGATTTAAAGGGGGATGGAAGGTGCAAGTCTTGCTGACGCCGGGCTGCTGAAGGAGGGCTCAATGCCCCCAGCACTGCCACAGTCACGGCACCACGCCGTGCAAGGGCCCGAAGCTCTTTTGGCTCTCGTTGCCGCATTGGTTCTGCGGGCACCAGGCTTGCATCCTCGCTGCTGGATGGCCCCTCCTCAGAGAAACAATGACGTGCCATCACTCTTCAGTTCGACTTCGGCTCAGGCCGAGGCCCCGTGGACTGCATGGCATCTACTCCACGTCCGGGGGCGGCAGCGCCTCGGAATTCAAAACAAAACAGGCTGAAGAGGCAGGAGTCAGGCCCATGCATGCCTCCTCAACCGGCTGCCGAGCATCCTGCGCGAAACTATGCCGGAAGCATCCGGAAGCAACAACTTTTTGCTTTCGTCAGCTTTCTTGCCACTCCTGCTGGCAGGCAGCGCTGCTAAGGCCGTCATCGGCAGGGCACCCGACCAGGTAGCACCTCGCACCTCAACGCAGGAGTGTCGGTAGAGCCGCCACGTGCTACACACGTGTCCATGGTGTCTGAGTTCCCTTCTGGCGTACACCGAGCTCCGGGAGCTTCCGACTTGGGCTCCCGAAGTTCGCATGCATGGCCTGGCGAAACCCAATGCATCCCAACGACAAGTGCACAGTGGCAACGTATGCTAAAAATATAGAGCTCGTGATACGAAGCCCAACGAGGCCCACCCGGGCGCCTGCAACTGCCGGCAAGACCTGGAGCTGCAGCGTCGTTGGTGCTTTGCTTTCTGCGGCTTTCGGCTTTTCGAACCAGCCTCCATCCTGCGCCCGATGTGCCACGCTTGGGCCAGACATGGCCACTCGAGAGCCGGAACGGCAGCGGGAACATGCTCGAAGACTCTAAGCCTCGTCGACCCTGAAACACTTGCATCCAGGCCGGATGCAGGGCAACAGGGCAGCATAGGGCAGCAGGGGTGCAGCGCTGGACGGTCCACAGAGAAAACCTTGCCCCGGCCCTTGGGCCTGACTGCTCCCGCTGCTCTTTGCCCTCGCTGGGACCGAGGCATGCCGAGGCCTGGCAGCGGAGGCCATGCCACTGCGACCGCAGCTCCATGGCCTACCGGTTCAGATCATCCCGAAGGACGCTTCTCAAAGCCAGCTTGCCTGCTTTGCCGCAAAGCCAGCGCCCAAAGCCGAGGCACCAGCCAGAACCTTGACCAAGGAGCCTCAGCGATGGGAATCATCGAAAATAGGAAGGCAGAGCACTGAAATGCACTGAGCACCTATGGACTCTGGGAGCCTGGCGGCAGCGCTTCAAGGCCACAGCGGCCATGGCCGCGACTGTGCTCGAGCCCGACTACAGGAGCTGCGGCTGGCCTTTGGCGTGGCCGGCTTCCCCCGGCCAAAGTTTGTCGTTAGCCCGCCTTCGTGCATTTATCCGCTTGTATCTACTTCTTGGTTTCCTTGGCGGCAGAGCCTCAAAGAACTCTTTCTGCTTCTCGTCGTTCTGGACCGTGAGCCGGCCGCCGGCCCGGCCCGTGCGTCCGGCTTCTGTCCGGCGTGCTTTCTCTGTTCCTCCTGGCCTCCTCCTGCTTGATCTATTGCATGTATGGAGGGTGACCGGGTGACCTGCAATTCAAAGACCCCGACCACTGAAAAAAAAAATGCTCTTTTTTGAGCTCGGGGGCTAAGGGCGGAGGCATGCCTAATCCAATGCCACGAGCTTCAAGACTTGTTGAAACAGGGGCTGCAACAGTCTGTGCAGATGCTCTTCTGGCAGGGTACTTGAACCAGTGCAAAGGGTGATGTAATCATCACATGGGGCAACTTGACAGATGTCACTGCGAGGACGTGGCCTCAGGCAATGCTTCGTGACGGCTGCGACCCTTCGCGAGTAAGCACCAACCCCCGGTTACCGGACTGAACATGTGGCAAGGAGCGTTAGGGACGGAGTGGTGTCTGGCAGTCCGAGCACCGTCGCGATTTGATTGCATTCCTCGGCACAGCATGAAGGCTGCCAAGCCACGGCTGAGCCACTGCTCGGACTTCGCGGACACGACACAGAGCCCGTTCGTGGCGTCCCGTTGTCATATTTTGCTTGCGTTTAACTACAGACAGGCTGCAGATATGCCTCTTGCAGATGCACAGTTTCGACCGGCGAGTTGTTGATGCGAGCCTCACTCGACAGGGTGGTTTCCGCATCTCGGGAGTTGTTGTGATGCGACGTGGCCGTCTCAGGCTCGAGCGACAAGTCTGGTCCGAAACTGCCGCCACACCAGCAAGATCACAAACATCTGAATGTTTCTGGTGAATGCGCCTCGGGTGCTACGGGTTTCGTCTCGTCGCAGAACGGCTGCAGCTCACGGCTAAAGCTATCATGCAGCCCGCACACTGCGTACCACAGCTTGGTGACGTCGTTGGACACCAGGATCTGGCTCCACTGTCTGGTGTTGTACAGCAGCCTCGCCTCTGCCCGTCGCAAATCATGCTGTCGTCTCCTGGGTCCATTTCCCAACCCACCTGGCAGTAGCAACCATTCCGTGTCGTCGATCCTTGCGCCAAATGGCAAGTAGCTCTCCGGAAGTTGGGCTGCCAGCGAGATGCACGCCGCAAAAAACAGCACTGAGCGCTGTTGGGATCACCGCGGACATGTGTGAAAAAGGTGAATCCAACGCAGTTCCCCAGTCGTGCGCACATCACGCGGCACAATTCCCAAGCTGCCTCTGGATCCATGGCAACATCCACGTCGATTGGCATCCCGATAAGCTTTGGAACCTTGCAGGACTCAGTTTTTCGCACTGCCTGCGGTTCGGCCACATGCCTGGTACCCTTTCGAGCATGCCAAGATGCAACGGAACTGGCCACCGCCGCCACAGAAGAGGCATTCATAGCAACGCAGTGCGGCCCTGCTGTGCCATTGCTAGGCCTGACAGTGGTCCTACACGTCTTACTGCTCGGCATGCTGTCCTACATGTCTCACTGCTCTGCATGCTCTCTGTTGAAACGGTCAAGTGAAGCCGGCATCCCTTGCAAATCCAAGTGTAAGTTTCGATCATATTCTGGGTGTGCGGCTCAACCAGCCACGCGCCCTCGTGCACCTCCGAGGTCATCAGCAAACGATTGGCTCCGGCACAGCCTGCACGAAAGTCAATTACACATCATCAAGGCCGTATGCATTTCACTTCAACACACTTCAAAGGAAGTTAGGCACCACGGCAAAGAAGAAACAACAGAAACAGACCCAGGGTCAGCCCACTATGCACTGTTGAGACGTACTTCGCAGCGGGTGGAAGTGCGGGACAATTTTCCCCGTTCCCCCCAAAAGGCCCTTTTTTCCCAAAGCACGGCTTGACTATGCCACCAGAAGGGCACATATCTTCAACAGTCTTGGCATGGCCGACAGGTGCTGCTGAAACGCACACTATGAGCGGCTGGAACTTGGTGACTAGGCACTGCTGAGCACACTCGGCATTTACAGTAAAGCCACGATTTCCTCAAACAACACAGGTGTCATTGAATTAAGCGTCGTACTAGAACGTTTAGCATCACAACTAGGAACACTGACGACCCGTTGTCAGACAAATGAATGTCGCACCGTACGTATGTCAAGGCCAAGAATTAAAATGCCCAGCCCATCTTCCTGTCCATGCCACGCTGGTGTTGACGTGAAGGGTGCCGTTTCATGCGAAAGCGACTGGCCAAAGCTTCAAAGCGAATTGACAAGGAACAAATTTAAACACCGAGTTGCGCGTGTTCTCTTCCACAGCCCAACAAACTTGCGTGGAACCTCAGGCTTTGAGCGAACCCTCGTCGCGATGCCCTGATAAGCATGTTCACCAACTCAAGTCGCACCTGCTCGATTTCGTCTGAGGTGAGAGTTCTGCCAAGTCACATGGCTCAGAAGAGTGAGGCTCCTCGGAAAACACACCCATCAAGGCTCTGTTTCCCTTTCAAACATTCCTGGCTAAGCCTGCCCTTTACAAGCAATCTGGCCCGATTCCAGCCTCCAGGTTCGCCTGGCGGCAGTACAGAAGTTCAACCTCACGGCTTCCTGTAGCACCTGCGATTGGGCTCCGACACAAATTATTGTGTTAAGCGTCTGGCGGCATCCCACGGAATTAGCAATCATGAGAAGTAGCAGCACGCCAAAACATGGCGGTCCACACGTGTCTACACCCTACATGGATGCGTGACAGACCCAAGCTTGACAGATTCAACAAACACACACACACACACACACACACTTACAAGCTGATCGACTGCTGACTGCGCGACTGATGTTATGCTACTGCAACATGCCATTCCCGGTGCAGGCACGTGAAGGATAACCGATCCTTCATGGGGTGACCAGTCTGGAAAGGTGGATCACTCCTCTGCAACCTCTCATAAGGACGACGTGCAAATTGGCACAGGTTTCTGCCATGGGGAGTGGCCATCTGTTGTCCCTGGATGAGGACAGTACACACGCACGCGCACACACACACACAAACACACACACACACACATACGTATGTACGTATATACATACATACAGACATAAACGCGTGCAGACTCTAGACAAACACACAGATAAGAAAGACAGAGAGACTGACGGACAGACACACAGACCGACGGACAGACCGACAGGCAGGCAGGCAGACAGACATACATACATACATTCCCCAAACAGTGCTTGCACGATGGGGTTCTCACGTTCAGGGTAAAAAGGAATTGGCTGCAGGCCGCAACGGCGCACGCAGACCAATTTCAGTGCTCCCGCTGTGGTTTCACGCGACTTCTGCGTTTCGACGCTTCCGCTGTGGTTTCGTGCGAATTTTCTTGCGTTTCAATGCTCCCGCTGTTTTTTCGCGCGACTTCCGGCCTCCTCTGGCTTGCTGTGGCCTCTTCCGGTGGCCCGCTTAGGTTGTTGCGTTGCAATGCTCCCGCTGTGGTTTCGCGCGACTTCCGGCCTACTCTAGCCTGCTAGCTCCGGCCTCTTCTGGGGGCCCGCTTTGGTTGCGGGCCGCAACGGCGCACGCGGTGGGACGGCGACCTTCGTTTCGACGCTCCCGCTGTGGTTTCGCGCGAATTCCGCTGCGTTTCAATGCTCCCGCTGTGGTTTCGCTCTGGCCTGCTCCGGCCTCTTCTGGGGGCCCGCTTAGGTTGCGGGGCGCAACGGCGCAAGCGGTGGGGCGCGACCTTCGTTTCGACGCTCCTGCTGTGGTTTCGCGCGAATTTCCTTGCGTTTCAATGCTCCCGCGATGGTTTCGCGCGAATTCCCTTGCCTTTCAATGCTCCTGCTGTGGTTTCGCGCGTGCGCGACTTCCAGCCTCTTCCTCGGCCCCATCTGGCCTCCTTTGGCCTCTTCTGGCCCTCCTCACTGTTTGGGGTCTACTCCGTATGTATATATATATATATATATACACACACACATACACACCGAAATATACATATATATATATATATATATACATACATACACATACACACCGATGCGCCCAAAAGCATACCGAAGAAGCAAAACACTAGCCATTGTTTGTGCGCATGTGCAACAGACTCGTTCGTGACAAGCCATGCGCGCTTGCTGTGGCCTGAGAAGTCGGCACTGTCTGCATGCAGGGCAATCCCAATCAGCTCGTGGCACACCACACGACGGTATCTCATCTGCTGTCCTTGGCGATGTCATGGAGACGGCAGGTGCAACAGGGCCAAAAAAAGCTGTTCCGCAGGCTGATCCCTCCAATAGGCCCACACTCTCGCCGAGCAGCCACAAGATCGGCTGCAGGCGCTCCAATCGCCTTGCGACCACGTGTAAATCCGACTTGGCCGAGGCTCACCGCAACGGCACAGTTGTGGAATCCGCTCTGTAGCTTCTGCACCTCGCCCAAGGATTTTGTTCAGCCACAGGACGGGGAATCCATTGTCAGCCGTCGCAAATTCCCAAGCGCAAAATAGAGGAAGATTGTCGGAGAGACGCAATTCTGCAGACGCAGCCGAACCACCACTGCCTGTGAAGCCCATAGCAGCTGCCGCTCGCTCACATTCCTCTCGCCCCTCTATGGGGGAACACCGGACATCTTCACAAAAACCGGCCATGACCAAGGCTAAGCCGGGTGATTCTTCTGTCGTGGTGCAGGGAGATGGTGGCGGAATTACATCTTCGGGACAGCTGCCAGGCACACAGCAACGACCGAATACTCCTTCTGATGCATCTGGACACGTGAGGTGCGTCGTTGAGGCGCGGCACATCTCTTCGGTTGTGCCCAGCATGAGATCCAAGGAGCAGCTTTGGCTGCCAAGGCCCTGCTGGGCCTGATCCAATGAAACCAAGGTGGGCACACCCTGTGCCACACCGAAGGCTGGGCTCTGTTCGCCTCCGTGGTAAGGATCCGCCAGCACATACCCTGCTGCCGCCACCCGCTTCAGGTGGAAAGTTGCTTGCATGCGGAACTGAAAAGTGCCATCATCCTCAGACAGCATCAGGTCCTGGAAGCTTCGGAAATGCTCAGAGAACCTCCGCACCACGTATTTGCCCGTGCTGCAACTGACCAGTGAAACGCAAGCCTTGGCTGCAAAGAGTTGCTTCAATGACTTGCTGACAGAAATCCCGCGAGTTAGCATCGCAAGTCTCTCGCTGCGTGGCAAGCTTCCATCGACAGCGCCAAGTCTGCGGGAAGTACACTGAAGGTGGCGCTACAGCTTACCTCTGCTTCCCCGCGTCGCAGCCTGCGTGTACAAAGAAGTGCACTCGGAAACCAAGCTTCCCACCCACCACAAGCCACAAGCACAAGCTGCTTCCCACCAGCAGATTTGTAGTTTGCCGTTTCGGCTTCTTGCAGCAAGCAGGCGTGAAATAACTTTCAGGTTTTCGGCAGCTTCTGCCCTTTGCACGCAGGCGGACTCTGTGTGTTCGTGAAACACAGAAAACCGTCTGCAATACCCTTAAACCCGACAATGCAGTGCCAGACATGAACATCTCGGGAGAAACCTGAGTTGCAGTGGCCGCCCATTGTCATCCACAAAGACCGAATCAGAATTGGAGTACATGACAATGGCCTCACAGACTCTAGCACCAGGCTGTGTTCAGGTCATGCCACTAGACCTACCAGAATTGACATGGCATCTCCCTGTCTCGGCTACTCTGGGGACAAGCTGCACTCCAATTCATTTCGGCATCTTGTCGGTCCAAAGCTAAGTGTGCAATTGAAAAGCAGTCATCGCCTTAGCTCTTGCACCGCAGGCAGGACAAGGCCTGGGTGTTTCGTTCTTGTCGAGTCAGGCGTATGCAGAAACCAATTTGCTTCGTGCTTTGGCGGCATCGGATGCTCCAACATTTAATTTTGTGAAGACGCAAGCTTGCGGCGGAATGCACTCGGGAGCCTGCCGAATGTGAGATTCAAGGACCAGCAAGAACATTGAAGGCTGCGCACTGTGGGACATACACCTCACAGCAAAACCGAGAGGCCTCCTGACAGGACCGTACAGATTCAGGAGCTGGCTCTGCGCAACGCTCGCCGCCATCACCCACATCGTCTGGATCAAAAACCCTGCATCGCACCTGCTTACGCAGGCCGAAACGGAGGAAAGCAGCGACTCGGAGAGAGATGACAAGCCGGACACTGCCCAACGCATGTAGCATCCGTAGCATCATCTTTGCCAAGGGGCAGATCGATTGGTCGTTGCAGCCGGTGTAACACAGTCGGCTTGATCGCACACACCCCAGTCACCCGTCACCCAAGAAGCGCTGGCCTGGGGGAAACGGAACCGCAGCGGAAGCTGGAACTGGCCCAGAGTGTCTCCTGGCCTGCGGCTCGAAAGTCAGGCGCACAAAGGCGCCGTACCTTCGCTGATGTTACTACAGCTTGCTGTCTCTAAGTGGGCCCCGGGCCGTTTGGCTGCATCAGGGGAACTTCGCATCAAGTCCCGAGAGAAGTTCACTGTAGCAGTCCACATCACCCCGCGTGTTGACCGCGCACTTGCAAGTGTCACCTGGGCGTTTTGCTGCAAATCCGCCGAGGCCAAAGGCCTCTGGCGTTTTGATGGTTTATACTAAGTAACCCTCCACCTAATCCTCCTCCCTGCACCCCAAACACAAACTCCCACCCGCTTTTGGAGCCTGTTTTCGACCCCCTTGCCCGGCTTCCGTCAAGTCGCCCGTAATTTTCACAATTTGCCATGTTTCCCCCCTTTTTCGCCTCAATCTACCCCCCCCCCCGGGCCGGCCCTCCCCGACCCACTTCCCGACTTCTCCTTCTTGCCCTTTTCTCCTTTTTTCCACCTTCTCGCTGCTTTCCTGCCCCAAGCTCCCTCCTTCCCCTTGCTCCCCTTCCTTCTGCCCCACTTCCTTCTTTTCTTTGTCCATCTTTCACCACTTTTCCATCTTCTCCCGCCACTTGTCCATCTTCCTGCTTTTTCCATCTTCCCGCTGCTTCCCAGCGCCGCAGGTTTACAGTAGCCCATGGCTACTTTCTGCTCCTGCTTCTGCCAGCCTTCCGAGCCCTGTTCGAGTACAACACATGCTGCCAGTCGCTGTGCTCCTTCTGTGCCTGCTGCTGCTGCTTGCGGTGCGCCGCTGCTGGCACTACTGGAGCCGCCAGCCGAGGCGGGCCGTGTAGCGTTACAATTAAAGCTGATTGATTCATCTGGCAGGCTTCAGAGTGAGCTTAACCATCAAGTCACGGGTGCGGAATGCCTTCACCTCAATGCGGACTTCAGAATCGACCACCCGGCCAAAATTGATGTTGCCGCACTCCTCGAATGCAGCAGAAGACTGCACGTTCGCCGACTCAAGACATCTTTTGCAGGCCAGGATCCACCAAAGAGCAGTTGTAGTCGGAAGCGACTTTCGGGCTGCAGGTCACACTTTGTCCTCCTACCTCAGCTTCAGACAGGCTCCGGCGGGGTCTTGGTGACTAGGGCTTCTGTGGAAGCCTCTCACCACACGTAGACTGTGAGCTAGCCTAGGGAGCGAGGGAGGGAGCGTGCCTTCACGTTGACATGCTCATCTTTGGAATGCATGTCCACCTGCGCCACCTCAACTTTCACCTGACGCCGAGAAGAGACGCAGCTCTGGTCTGGGACGAATTGCCGGCCGTCTGTAGATCTGCGGCTATTGGCCTGATTAGCTGATTAGCACATACAAGTCAGAGCATCTCTTGGGAGGCAAGGCTGCTCGTTGCTCATTCTCAACTATGTTTGGTCGACTTCGCCTTGTAGAACACATTGGGAGGAACCACAACATCGCGATTCTCCACACAGCTCGGCTCGCAGCTACCCTCATGGCCAACCACACCAACGAGGGTCCGATACCTGGCGTGCCGAGAAAAAGCGATTTTGACTTCCCTGCACGATGTGAGGCCCATGAGTGCTGCGCCTCTCTTCACCGTCCCTCCAAAGAACGAGCTTGGCGGAAGAAACGTGCTCGCACACCAATGCCACCAGCAGCCAGATAAGCACCACTACTCGGGAAGAAGCCTCCGGAGCATGTATTGCAGAGTCAGTTTGGCAAGGGCACATCACTGGCAACGATGCTTGCAGGTATGACAGCATGCAAGATCAACACGGGCTCACTGGCTTATAAGATCGTATGACGCTGCCGCCAAACACGGGACATGGCCACGGGACCACGGAACTCATGGCCAGCGCCGGCCATGCTCTGCCATTGAGGCAGTTTGTGTTGTCCTGCTTCCCAGGCTGCCAAGGTCAGATGCCAAGCATTATCGATAGCTCTCGAAGAAACACTGACTCAAGCCAAGCCACGTGGGGGCGTGGGGTCACACCCGAGAAAGTTGTGAAACGAGTAACCTGCTATAGGGTCCTGTTGAAGCCGAAAATGCCAGCAGAGTCTCGAAACATGCCCTCGAGGACTGCCGGCAACAAACTTGCACAAAGTCGGTTGAGGTGCTGCACCATACGCACCGGTATTCCACCGGACCTGCCCTACCGACTTACACATTCTACTGGTACCATTGCTGCGCAGCCGTGCCTAAACTACGAGACATGATGCAGCAAGCACAGTACCACGACTGATCCGAGCTTTTCTGCTTGCTGGAGGAGTGAAGCTCCGACAAACCGTGGCAGCGCCTTGGATCGGAGGACGGGCGCGAGCCGAAAGCCGTGCAGTGCGCTCATGTCCACGTGACAACTGCACCCGTGCACACTCTCTCTGGGTGGACTTCGCCTAAGGTTATGTGGAAAGTCACCGCCGGAGCACAGATGGAAAGAGAGAGAGAGAGAGAGAGAGAGAGAGCGAGAGCGAGAGCGAGAGCGAGAGAAGGAAAGAAGGAGAGACAGAGAGAGCGAGAGAGCGAGAGCGAGAGAGCGAGAGCGAGAGAGCGAATGCGAGTGCGAGAGCGAGAGAAGGAGAGAGAGGGTGAGACTAACAGAGGAGACAGAGCCCCACGGCCATGCAGACAAAGGGAGAGAGAGAGACAGAGACAAGAGTGCGGAAGTGTCAGCAGAGGAATGCACAGGTGCCTTGGGCGGCTCACCCAGGCAAGCGCTGCGAAGGTCTGCTCGCAAGCCGCCACCACCCGAACGCAGGCGCTTTAGCGCCTGCGGCGAAAACTTGAGGATGTCAAAGCTTCGGGTAAAGATCAAACCCCGAATAGCTTTGCCCAAACCGTGTTTTCGGTAAGCCACGTGCTTACACACAGGACTGCCACATGTCCTTGTCGTCCGAGTCCGCGGTAATGGCCTGGCAATGGCCAACCAGTCGGCAGCAGGCCCGGAACTCCTCGAGGCCAAGGTTTGCCTTGAGGTGTGGGTTGGCCACCTGCCAGATCTCCCGCAAGGCGCGCCGCGGCAGCCCAGACTGTGCTATGAAGTCGGACTGCTGCGCCGCGACTGGATCCATGTCATCTGTAGTGCTTGGAGGATGACTCTGCATCTTCGTCTCCAGCTCTGTGTAGAGAGCATCGTACATCTGCAGCTCATCTTCGGTCCAATTGGTCGGTAGGTTGGTTCCGAAAAAGCCAGAGGAGGTTTTACACATCATTCTTTTTTCCTCCATAGGTGTAGACATTTCTCTAGAAATAGTAACACTTGAACCAGCTGGCAAGGGTGCTTCGGGTGGTCTTGACACCCATCTCAGCTCCGGATGCCCAAGTGGCAGCGTCTTCCTGGGTCATGCTCATCAAGACGGTGGATTCAAAACAAGACTGCATCTCAGGTACACCCTGATGGAGACTGGGCTGCACATGACATAGGATATGATGCGTTTACGCCGGCAAAGCCGCGACTAGCAAGAAGTCAGGCCAAGGGACTTGCACCAGTCGTTTGCACGAGCATGTGGAAGCTGAAAGGCAATCATGACTTCGGCCCTTGAAGCACAGACTCGCTTGTAGCTGCATGTTCCGAGAAGAGAGACTAGATTCTAGATTGACTAGATCAGTAAGAAATCTTGCCACGTTGTCGATGCCTCCCAACGCGCTCCACGAAGCCAGGGCACCATCCTAATTAAAGTCGCGGCAGCTGCAGGGCTGATATTTGCAAGCCCTTGCCAACGCCGTGACTTGACAAACGTGCAATGGCACACATTATGACATTGCCCGTCAGCTTCTGAAAGAACGATGGTTTACTGCCACCGAGCAGCGGCGGACAGAGTTGCTAAACACCTCGACCCTTTCACCGACCCAGGGTTTGGGTCGACCGCTTGCCTTGGGTCACGTGCAGGTTGAGGCTCGGTCCAGAAACGAAGCGCAGGGTCGAGGTCACAGGCTGAAATGCAGCAGGCCACTTCAGAAGCAGAGGCTGTCGCAACACCCGGAGGCATCCGACGAATCTCTTTCGTGCGCTGGTGGTAGTAGTAACCTTGCCCGCTTCAAAACCAAAATCCTTGTTCTCCTATTTCTCTTTCACTCTGCTTTAAAGGTGCGGTTACCATCCGGTGTTGTGGTGGATCGCCAGCCTGGCTACAGCCGAACTGCTGCAAGTCGAGCGCAAATGGCTCATGCTGTGAACACATCCTGCAGCTAAAGCCGATAATCAGTAAGCTCGCCCAAGCTGCCAGATGGACTTGCATCCTCGCCCCCTTCATCACCTATGCAAGGCATGCTTTGCCTAGCACGTACTAAGTACACCCTTCTTTCACGTGGGCTCCTTCTGGGTATGCCGGATTGCTCCTCTCCCTCACCGAGCACTGCTGGCTGAAAGTCACAAAGCACTCTCCCGAAACTGTTCCGAGAAGAGAGCACCACGTCAGCCAAAGCACGGTAATCGCGAAAACCGTGCCATGATGATGCCAGAAATGCATTGAGGGATGTGCACTCTCTTCAGCCGTCAAACGTCGTAATTATGCAAACTCGGTCTCGCAACACCTACACACGGGCAATAAAACATGTTTCCTCATCAAACTCTTACGCTTTCCCCTGTGCAAGCAGGAAAAGGACTGGGAAATGACAGCATCCAATCAATCCTGGTGAGCAGCTTCCGACAAACAGTCCAAGCAAGCAGTGTTGCTGCAAAGTCACCGGTCTCCGCGGATACCTGAAGTGACCGCTGCCAGCTCGTCATCTATCTCTCTTTTTCTATATCCAAAGCAGGCGGGTTCCCCCTTCTCCCTCGCGCTTGTGCGACCTGGTGGTACTGTCTTGTGGGATTCAGCTAGATGATGAAGCCCCGGATTCGAACTCTCTCGCTCTCTCTCTACGTGAGGCGGGCAGCTCAGGCTTTCTTCGTCTAAACTTACTTCAGTCTGTCCAGCAGCTTCAGGCTCGCTAGCAGTCGAAATTTGCAAGGCAAGAAGAAACTGCGAAAGGGCGAGCCAGGGCGAGCAAGGCACGTGACCACCAGATCTGTAGCTTGGCTCGAAGCGGAGCTCCTTCAAGGATTCACATTTGTGAAAGTAAAAGCTTGCGTGGCAGAAACCGCCTTCGCTCACTACAACCTCATACTGATTGAGACCGGATGTTCGACAAAAGTCGAGAATGTCTCGAGAACCGTATGCGTGGGAAAAGGGACTCTTCTGAGTCGTCAAAACAAAGACACCGAAGTTAAACTGCCCGGCATTGACTGCTCAAGTCGATCCTGCACGGAGCTCTTGAACCTCAGGCCGCCCTCGCCCAAACCAGTGCCTTGGGCCAGGACAGCGATATGAGACCGAAGCAACCGTGCTTCACCACGCTAGGCGTCGTGGCCAGCGAGGACCGGCGAAGTGCTACAAAGTAACCGAAGTAGTCACGGCCAAACTTGAAAACAAAAGCAATGTTTTCAGATTTTGAATGCATTTTGCAGGAGTTGCGCTCGACAGGGCATTATGCGGATTTCTCTGCCAAGGGACGAACACGATCGAGCTCTTTCCTGATGTTTTGGCAGAGGCAAAAGAGATCGTATGCGGCATATCAAATCGAAGTGCTGAGCCGCTCGTGTGCTCTAGGAGGCTTCAACAAACCGAGAATCCGAACTTGGGCAGCATCCTGCAACAGCTTTGATGCTTGCTCGTGGGCCAAGTCCACGGCTGTCTGCGGAAGCTGCGCAAGGAGCACATCCTTGGAGCCATCAATCACGCAGGCTCTCCTACATTCTGCGAGTCGGCACTCCGACAGATTGCAGGAAGCCGACACACTTTTCCCTTTGCCCTTGCAAATTTATCTGCATCTGCCGTGTTGCGTTTTGAACTCCGAGGACGGCCTGCTGCTCGCTTGTGAGCTGAAGGACAAGATCTTGCATCACCTTTTCAGCTGCACCGGATACTCTGACTGGACGAATGATACGCGGTTTCTCCTGGTCTGCAGATTTGTACTGAAACGCCCCGTCACGGAAAAAGCCAAACTCCTGTGATTCAACACTGCAAAGACGAATTCCCAGGCTGAGAAACTTCCTGGAGGGCAGCAACCCAGTCGTCGGAGGTGAGCAAAATGTTAATCACCTCAGTTCCGTGGGTACGGTGCACTAGAGTCGCTGCCGGAACAACACCGAGCCTCTGCCACTTGAAGAATATGATCTGGTCTCTGCACAACGAAGTCAATCAGGAAGCCCAGCACAGGCCCTGTCCAACATGTCTCGAATGCAAACCGAAATCCAACGAGTGCCACGTATGAATGCTGAAGACAATAACGACAAACACGGCATTGACAAGTATGGGCACAGAAACCAATGCGCCCAACGGGGAAATGTGCATCTTGTTTGGTGCTGCATTCACTCGCCACGTACTAGACTTGAATCTATGATGCATGCAAGATCGACGCAAAGGAATTGGACTGGATGCACATTCAGTCTGTCAGTTTGCCACATTAGCACCGCGTGCCCGCATGCTCAGCGGCTCTGTCAACAGCACCAGGTGAGCGCAAGGATTTCAAGCATCCTTTCCTTAGAGGCGACCAGACAATCACGAGGACAAACTTGTACAGCAGGGCGCACAAGTGAGTTGTCAACTGAGTCATGAAGTAGCAGTGCTTCGCATATTTGTTCAGCAGCCCTCTCCAAGCAAAACCAGCACAAGTCATCACGTGGCACTGCTACGCAGGTTTGTTCAGCTAACCCTCTCCAAGCAAAGCATCTTGAGCAGAACCAGAATCGCGCCGAGATCGCAGCTGCGGACAGCATCCTGCACAGAGCTTTGGTGCAGTAACCTCAGCAAGGACAGCAACCGCCAAATTCAAGCAGAACATCTCACAAAGTTGCGGAATGAACGCCGC